TTTAGACCCTTTAGGATCCTTCAGGTTTAATACCAGGATGCTTGGGTATTAGGCTTAGGTGGTATTTGTATAATAATTGCATATGTGTTCCAAATTGGCTAGCCTTCGGAAAGAAGCTAGATCTTGCCAGTTTCAATGTACCAAATCAGTGCTCACGGACAGCTTGTGCTGAGGTACGGTACCTATCGCCCTGCCATGGCACCTATGAGTGCGCCAATGCGCGCCTTTCCCGTACGACAGTGCCAGGGGCCTGTGATTTATGGAGCGGACATGCAATGGGGCAATGGGGCCATGGGTCCGACCGTGATGGTGAAAAAGGGGTAATTAACGTAGTAACCAAAATGCCAAACAGGTGGGAGTAATACACCTGCTTCTGGTTTATTGCTGGGCGTGCCAGATTCTTTGCTCAGCATGAAATGTCAAGAATTGAGTCAAGAATGTTGATGGAATGATATGTTCATGAATGATGGTTAGGTTGCTAAGCCCGTTCATGATGATGAAAAATCAGCATTTTCCAATCATGTTACATATTACTTGAAATAAATACTTACGCTCACCATCAATTTACTAGTGATGAATGCGATGATCCAAATTCACCCCCTTTCTGATGTACTCCATTATATCTACCTACCTACCTACCTATCTACTGTACCTATCTATCTGTCTGTCTACCTATCTGTCTGTCTATCTACCTACCTACCTATCTACCTATCTGTCTGTCTATCTATCTATCTATCTATCTATCTATCTCAATGATATCTTCCAGGTATCCCTGGCGCATCCAGGAGCCAGGCAAGTTGCATCCCCTCAGGGAGGCTATCCAATCGGATGAGTTCTGAGTCGAGCCATGGCCGTATTGAGCTGGTGCTGACAGACCCCGATGGAACTATGGAACTTACCCTTCAGTAAATTAACATAGACCCTGAAAATCACCAATTTTTAATGGAAACTAGTCTTCCAACCCCTATTTGCCAGGGTCTATGTTAATTTACCAGAGGGTAATATCACTATCATATATCGCTATATTAACAGATATTTTTTAACGATTTTTAACGTATTATTGATGATGGCACCCACAACGAAGAACATGTAGGAAAATTAGGGATGCTCCGATGGTCGATCTTTGTTTTTTTCCTTCAGGTTGCATGTTGAGTTTCAGGGGTGCAGCAAATTTAAACAGCTTTCGCACGGCGGATTTGGAAATGATCCTGACTGTTGCATCACGTGCACCGAACAAGGAGCACTGGCGACAAAACATGTCATAGCTATCATCAACCGCTTGATTGATGAAAAAAACTAACGAAGGATGTGTTGAACAATTCATCAGGACAATTGTTTCTCTGCTTGATGTGGTGCATCATGTGCACACATCGTCATGTTGCAAAATGTTACATATGTAGGATGTAAGGATTGCTAAAGCCACATGTATACCGTATACAAAATCACATGCAGTGCATTTAAGAATCAGGCGAAGAATGCTGCAGTCTGCAGCCGAAAATGTCGTTTTTATGCACGTTCAATACGAGTGGCCCAGGGCAGAAGACCTGGAGCAGCCTCAGCAAGCTGCAGCGATACCTCTAAGATCCAAAGACCTTCAGTCCAAGTGAGAGAGAGGGAGAGAGAGAGTCTCCAACAAGCAGTCCACGTACAAAACAAATTTGCCCCAGAATATCATAGACTGATTGGCAGAAAAACAAGCAAAACCACTGCAAAAGTATACTTCACATCGAATGAAGATGCGCTTGCAACAGGAGGTTTGTGCTCGGAGTGCCAAAACACCGGCGCCGGGAGGAAAAAGAAGCCGTGCAGCAGTGATCAGCAGTGCAGTTCAATTGTTCAGCCAGCAGCTGCTACTCTAAGAGATGGGCCTCAAACTGTCCAGGTTGGCATCATGACCGCCCAGCAACTGATCAAAAAGCACCGCAATATCGAAAACATCCTCAGGCCGGCTAAATGCGTACAGGGACATTATATGTATGGCCCTGTGAACATGCGTATATTATATTTATATAATATAAGATGATATGATATGATATGAGTCATATGATATGATATGAGTCATATGATGTGATATGAGTCATATGATGTGATATGATATAATTGCATACATTTTGCGGATAATCTATATTTGCGGATAGTCTGTGTATATATAACTATTTGCATACATACATACATACATACCTACATACATACATGCATGCATACATACATACATACATATATATATATATATATGTATATATATATATTTGTATCACCTCGCGTGTGGCATATCTCAGCAGGAAGCAGAATCCGCCCTGGTGCCCCTCAGTTCCCTGGTTTCCTGTTCCTGTCGGGGTGAGCCGCTCGGTAGTGGGTGAGCCTTGAGATTTGAGACCAATCGCTGGCTGGAGCTGCTGTTTGTTCTCACTCTTGGTCAGGGGGCCCAGCAATCAAACACGAAATGCCATCAACTAACCAAAGTTATTTAAGCTATTTGGAAATTAGCCTCAAGAACTCACCATGTGTTAATTCCTTTTGAATTATCCATCCTTTCAGAGTAGTTTCCAAGGGATTGATCATAATCACCTGTCCATGACGACAGGTATCCATCCAAATCAATCCATCGAAATCCATCTACATGAACCCATGTCATGAAATTTCCATCGTGGTCCATTTTCTACCCGGGCTGTCCACTCAGAGGGGGTCCAGAGTGTCCTTTGGGCGGAGCTGGGGGCAGGAATTTGGACCGGGCCAAGTACATGGCACCTTGGTTTGATTCGAGGGAGCTAAATTGGAGGTACCTACCATATACAAGGCCCATGTAAGGGCTATATGTGAGGGAATATCCCCACAAGATACGGCAAAGTAGCTTCATTTTCCCTTCTTTTCGGGATTTTTCAAGCTAAATCCTGATCCTAATCCCAGTGTTGAAGGGACATTTCTCATTCCTCAATCCCTGTATGCGAGGGCATACCTCGCATCCCAAGGTGCCAGAGGATTGGAACTTCACTGGCGCAAGGCCTGTTGATGGGGATCGGACACGCTTTTGCCATAGATTCTGACAGGATCTGATGGGTGCACTCACATTCGGCGACAAACTGCACGAGTAATGTTGGACGCTGATTAGTGTAAGCCCCCCTCAAACAAATTTAGTACGCTCAATAACTTGCCATTTTTTGGGGACCAGGTCTGGGGAACTCAGGATGATAAACTTGAGTAAGGATTTCAATTAATGCCAATCTACTTTCAATTGATTTTCCTTTTAAACCTCAAAGAAATCTATTGATAAGAAAGGATTTCAATTGAAATCAATTTACTTTCAATTCATTTGAATGTACTTTCAATTGATTTTCCTTTTAAAGCTAAAACAAAATCACCCCAAAAGTTTTAGTGCACAATAGGGTGCCACCCAAACAATATCAAACAATTACATTATTGGAGGATTTGGGTCACTCATGGGGTACCCCATTGAAAAATTGTTTGGGCGTTGTTTTTTAATAATGGTTTAATAAGGGTTGTCATTTCTGTTAGCAGCTCCGAACCAATCAGATCCCCGTTTTTTTTTAGGGTCATCGCCAGCTAGCTACAAAGACAAACTATGGTCTAGTCACTAGCTATTACTGTAAATATAATATATATATATATACTAGTAGTTGATGTTGTCAATATGAGCCACTGAAGCCCATTGATGACTGAAACAAAGTGAATATGTTCAAAGCCACCAGCGGGGCTGCAGAATCCACCAGCGAATTTTGTCGAGGAGTTGTTTCCAGCCCATGGATTTGAGTTTCGTGAAGAACAGCGACTTGAAGGAGACTCCCCCGCCATCTTGGCGCATGGGGCGCTGAATACTTCCCAATCTTACCACCTTCCTGGTTTCAGGCCCCAAAGCTGAGATGGTACAGTACCAGTCGTAGCACTGCAGGAGAAGCCCATTGATACCGTGGCACTGCGAAACTTGTCTCTTGGTCTTAAGCTGGGCTGGGCCATGCTGGGCCCCAGGGTGGTTACTCATGAGATCTGCTGAGTGACCAGTTGGAGGCATCAGATGACCATCCCAACATTCTCAACTAAGATCCCAACTAATTATGTAGCGCAACTAATTTGGTTTGTTTGCAACTTGGTGTAACTGTGTGATGTTCATTCCTTATGAAGCTTTTGGGTTTTGATCCAATGGGCAGTTGCAAAGTGGGGACCCCAGCTGGCTCAGCCAACTAATCATGCCCAAGTCTGAGGCTGATAGAGCGTCATGCGCTGAAGCCAGAAATCATCAACGACCGTTTGCAAAAACTGGTGTTTTTGCAGCTTGTCTTATTGGCTTTGGCGGCAGTGCATCTTAGAGTGAAGGATAAAGGATCATCTGGAGGTACCAGCAACGTTCGGAAGTCCAATCATCATCCACAAGAATGGTACATCTTTTGATGCATCTTGAAAAGAAATGATGCTGCCTATGACGCTGCGCAAGCCAGTTGAGGATTTTGATGGGGGCTTAGTGTCAGAGACTGAACTTGACAGCCATTTGATTCATGAGCATGTCCACATGTCAGATTTGTGTTGATTTGCGTTGCTCACTCTGGGCCCAATTTCCATTTTGCAGGGCTCCCTTTTGCCATATCGCACCATCGTACCGATGGCCCTCGCTACGGCGTGAGAAAAGCTTTGCCCGGGCGCAATTGCATTTGTTGGCTTTGGTGTCAACTTGGAACTTTTGATCTTGCAGTAGATCAGCATTGGCATAGGAGTCAATACAACAGTTAGCAATTCCATCCTCTTTTCTGTTTGAAACATCAGAGGCTTGCTTGCTACCAATACTGGTAGCGGAGCCTCGGTCATCTTGACTGGGGTATCCGCTACCGGGATTGGCTTTTGGAACTGGTGTGAGGACAGGCCAAAACCGGAGGTTCACTGAGTGACCAATCTGGGCCTGGACTCGCTTGTGGTGACAACAGTCAATCTGAGTTTTCACTATTTCCTTGCTGAGCACATCACGGACTGTTTTGCAAGTTTTGGTTTTTGGCATGTCAACGTTTACTGAGAGAAAGGAACAAGTGGCAACGTGGAATGGGGATCCGACAACATGGTTGGACTATGTGAAAAGAGTCAGGTTGCAATTTGAGAGAACGGAGAGGAAGAAGCGACACTTGTTGGGTGCAGAATTGGCTTCAAGACTGACTGGGAAAGCGTGGGACATAGTTAGTGCAGAGATCAACCATGCAGACCTTCAACGTAGAGATGGACCAGCATACTTGTTGAGGTTTCTGGAAGAAAGGCTCTGCAAAGCCCCAGTTCCTGATACGGGACAACGCTTGGAGGATCTTTTTGTCAGATTGAAACGTTCACCTGGCATGTCAATGGCAGAATGGGCAACAGCCTTGCGAGAAAGCTATCGCCGCTTGCAACGAGCTATGGCGAGACAGCGACAAGACTTGGAGAAGCGAGATGGAGTTGCCCTACAAGCTAAGTCGCGACCTGCCTCACGTGCCGCTTCTCACAGGAGCACTGACGTGACTTCACCTCGAGCTGGAGGAGGTTCACCTGGTTCCAGAAGATCCAACCCCGGACGTGGAGAACAAGATCGGCCTGACGATCCAAGGACTGATGGGTATGAGCCAGTGCCCACCGTTGAAGGTGGCAATCCGGACGGTGCAGCAAGTGAGCATGCACCTAGCAACAATGGCGATTGGACAGATGAGCAATGGCGTGAGTGGCGACAATGGCGATACCGCCATGATGCCGACTGGAGCGAGGATGACTGGTGGCATGAGGATGAGATTGAGTGGGATCAGTTTGATCTGAGCGCTGAGCACATTTTGCCTCAGGAGATTTTGGGTTGGATTCTTTTGAGGCGTAGTGGTTTGCCTGCCAATGCAAGGCTCTCAGTGCTGAGCGCCACCAACAATCGACTTGACCTGGATTCGATGGAACGTGCCATGAGAGATCAGGAAGAAGAACTTTTGGCAGCTGAATCCAATCGACTGAGGTTGGACCACCATCGTGCAAGACGCACTTTCTGGGTTGAGCAGGATTCGCAATGGGGGATCATGCAAGATCCTGACAATGAGGAGATCGATGAATCAGCTATCATGTGGATTGGCGATACCTTGCCTCCCGAAGTTTACTCGGCAGCTGCAAGTGAGCCTACAGAGCAGACAGCATGGTCGACATGGCTTCCGGATGGTCAGGAGCTTGCTTGGGAGTGGCATGATGATGACTTCTACGCGCAAGACGCTGCTGGCATTTTCTGGTCTTGGTCTGAGACAAAGACATGGTTGGACTTGCAAGATGCTGGAGCGACTGACCAACCGCTTCAGGAAGCTTTTGCCAATTTTAGTGATCGTTTTAGAACCTTCAAAGAAAGTAGAGCTCTGAATGCAGCCAAACATGTTTCCAGAGGGTTTTACCCACTTGCACCACTGAAGGGGAAGTATAATAAGGGTAAATCAAAGGGTAAAGGTAAGAGCAAGTTTGGCAACAAGACCGGCAGTTCAGCACCTGCGACAACTGCCCCTGCAGCTCTCTTCAACTCTGGCAGCTCTGGAAGCACGGGCAAGGGCACTCAACGACCTGGAAATCCAGAATATCGTGGTTGTTTCATTTGTGGCTCCCAAGATCATGACTTCAGGCGTTGCCCCAAACGCCAAAGTGGTTCAGCTTCGATGGTTTCCTCTACTACGCCCAACATTTACTATGCTGGTGAGGTTTTCATGGTTTCTGGATGTGGTTTTTCACCTGAGCAACCCCATGAGAGCGATGTGATTTTAGGTGTTTCGCCAGATGCCCTGGCGGCCATGTCCATGGAGTTTCCAGGACATGCGGTGCTGGACTCAGGTGCAACAGAGTCAATAGCATCTTTGGAAGCTCTGGAGGAAATCATGGTGATTAGAAGCAGGACCCACGGCCAAGAGCAAGTGGTTGTTCACCAACGTGAGAAGCGTTTTCGCTTTGGCAATGGCACCTACCAGAATGCAGTTTCCTTCGTTGAGGTGCCACAGGTGATCAATGGCCACCGGGTTCCTTTGGGGGTTCATGCACTAGATGCACCTGGAATTCCTTTGCTGATTTCAGTGAAAACTTTGACAGCTCTCAAGGCCATTTTGGACTTTGAGCATGCACGTATTTGTTTCAAAGATGCTGCGCCAGATGTTTGGATTCCTTTGAAGAGGGCACCCAATGGACATTTGCTTTTGGACTTGACACAGGATTGGGTCCCTATGTCCCCTGGCGTAGGCAACTGCATGATCGCAGCACCAGATGCGTCGAAATCCGATGCGCAGTACAAGTGTGCGGCAGCTGCAGCAGTTGATCATGTTGGAACAATTTCAGGTCAAGAAGGTGTGTTTCAAGGTCATCACATTTCTACTTCATCAGCAATTTCATCAGTGGCAGCCGTTCAACATGTTCCACATGGCATGCATGAGAAGTTTGACAATGCAAAGATGATTGATGAGATGGCGATGCCATGCTCCCTAAGAATGCAATCAACTGGAGAACATGAACATGTTGGCGATGTTGTCGAATCCGCCGGAAACTCAGGCTCAAACATGCGGCTAACCTTGCCCCTTTTGGTTGCCGCGGCAGCTCTCACGACAACATCCTCTTCAAGTTCCCCGCTGATCCATGGCGCAGACCTCGACAGCGGATGTGGCATCGGCTCCAAAGGCGACTTCACCGCCACCTGCACCAAAGGCGAAGACAAAGACCTCAACGAGGAAGACAAGGGTGGCCACACCAGAGAAGTACGACCTGAGCCGCCGAACCGGCCCGGACGGGCGAGACTCAAGGGCCCAGGGGTTTCCATGCTTTGGCAACCATACGGAAATGCCCGAGGGCCGAGGCTCTCTGAGCGGGCGCAACGCCCATGGCAAGTGGACAGTTTGTTCAACTTGCCGACTACGCCTGGAATATGTGCCAGCATACGGCGCAACCGGAATCCACAGACAGGCAGGACCACTGCCGCCCGATGTCGAGACAGTCATGAATGTGGTGAAGGACGATGTGAAGGACAAGCCCCAAGTCCGAGAAGCTCTGAACTCCAAGGCGGTCAGCATTCAAGGAGCCGAGGCTTCGATGCGCAGCAGGCTGGAGAAGTTGGAGAACGACCGCAAGAAGGTCTTGACCAAGGCGGTGAACCGCCCCGAACCCAAGACGGCACCGACACCTCCTACGGTCGATTTGACCGAAGATCAGCTGATGAGAACTGCACCTGGCAAGAAGGCAGCCAAGCGCGAGAACGAGAAGGAGGCGGAGGTGGCAGAGGCAAACGAGTGGTCAATGGTGTCCGAAGCTTCGCATTCACCACCCAAGCAATGACTGATGAGCGCAACTATGAGATTGCCGATGAGACCGCTCCTGAAGAGATCTTCTACCAGGCTTCAGCGACCTTAGAAGAATCCAAACGAGCCTCTTTTGAAGCTCATGGGCATGAAGTCATCCAGGAGATCAACGGCATCTATGATGAGCTCTTCAGCACCAACTCCAACCTGGACTTGATGGAGGTATGCTGCCCACCAGACAGCCGTCTGACCCAGACCTTCTTGGATCATGGAAGATCAGCCATGCGCATTGGACTTCCTGCGTTTGATCTTTCCACCAGCAGGGGCAGCGAGGAGCTCAACGGCATGATCAAGAAGCATCGGCCACGGCTGCTTTGGATTTCGTTGCCATGTGGCCCATACTCACCCATCCAGACCCTCTTCAACGAGGACAGCCCAGAGAAGTTGGCCAAGAGCTTGGACAGAAAACGCAAGTCCCGAAAGCTCATCCGAAACGGAATTCGAGCCGCTTGCCTCCAATTGGACTTGGGAGGTGAAGTTGGCTGGGAATGGCCTTCAAACAATGGCGGATGGCACATCCATGACATGCGCAGCTTTTTGGATTTCATGCAGAGCAAGTATGGACTTTACTTTGCTCGGATCAATGGCTGCGCCTATGGGCTCCACAATAGCAAGGGCAACTTCCTCAAGAAACCTTGGAAGGTGGCACTGTCGAACCAGACTTTGGCGGCAGGCCTTCAACGTCTTTGCCCTGGAGATCATCGACATGATGAATGTCTGGGTGGAAGCGATGCTCGGGATTCTGGATTTTATCCCAAGAGCATGTGCGAGCGCATCTACCAGCTGGTGATGTCTTTGATTCAGCAGACATCGCAAGATGCCTTCCCCAAGATCTACCCAGCTTTTGATGATGACATCATGGACGAGCCCGAGAAGCCTTCACCAAACCTGCAACCTCTGACAGAGGCCGAAATCAAAGAAGCATCCAAGGTGCTTCACAAACTTCATCGCCGAACAGGCCATCCTTCCAATCAAGCTTTGTCATCTGTGCTGAGGCACAGAGGAGCGCACCCTGACGTGATCCAGATGGCCCTCAAGCATCAGTGCCCTGAATGTCAAGAGTTGCGACTTGCGGCATCAAACCCTTCAGGAGCTCTACAGCGATCTGAAACCTTGTGGGAGACGCTGGTTATCGACAATGCAGAATTTCCAATAGATGATCAAGTTCTTCACTGCATCATCATGGTGGATGAGGCCTCACGCCTTGTTTGTCCCCATTTCCTCTTCCAGCACCACAAGGACCAGAGCCGCAACTGCACTGGCACTGAAGCTGTGATGGGCATCCAAGATTCATGGATTCGACACTATGGCGCACCTGCAGCCATACGTCTTGACCCTGAAGGTGCATTCAAATCGAATGAGCTGATGGAATGGGCACAAGAACGTGGCATTGAAGTTCTTCCGTGTGCCGCAGAAGCCCATCATCAGATCAGCTTGGCAGAACGCATGATCCAGACCATCAAGCAGACGGTCAAGCAGCTTCTTCAATCTGGACAACACGACCCTTGGGAAGCAATCGTGCAAGCTTGCCAAGCCCACAATGAGTTTGAGCGTGTGAGCGGCTATAGTCCTTTTCAATGGGCCTTCGGACGGCAACCTTCACTGACTGGCCGTTTCCATGACAAAGCCTATGATGACCCCTTTTGGACTTCCTCAGCTGTTTCCGGCACTCAGATGGCCGCCAACTTGAAGCTCAGACATCAAGCTCACACAGCCTTTTTGAAACAACAATCCTTTGAGCAGATCACCAGAGCATCAAATGCGAAGACTAGGAGACTCCAAGTCTTCCTTCCAGGCGACCTGGTGTTTTTCAAGCGGGTCAAGCCGCCAGCACAGCCCATGGCAGCAGTGAGAATGCCTCACAAATTGTGGAGGTGGTATGGCCCTGGCCGTGTTTTGGCCACAGAAACTCGAACAGATGCACTTGGGCAAGAACGCAAGCCATCCCACATTGTGTGGATTGTCACTCATGGCCGCTTGAAGAGGTGCTCTCCTGAACAACTTCGACACGCATCTGAGCGTGAGAAACTCCTTGCAGAGGGTGCCGACAATCCTTCAACTTCTTGGACTTTTCATAGCCTCTCCTCCACCCTCTACAAGGGCGAATATGAAATCCTGGATGACATGGTCTTCCCTGAAGACGAAGTGATGCAAGGCCCTCCAAGAGAGCGCCGCCGGGGTCGATCGGCCACACCAAGCCGACAGCCTAGGACTCCTGGCAGACCAGCGGCAACGAGAGCTCCTTCTACACCAGCACAAGCACTGCGGCAACCTTCTTTGCCACCAGTGCCATCGACACCAAAGGCCTCTGCAGACCCACTGAAGGATGAACGGACTTTGGAAGAGTTGGCTCGAGATCAAGGCGCTACTTCCAGCACTTCAAGAAGGCCTTTGTCGAGCTCTACGGCACCTTCACGTGGTCCTGCGAAAAGCCAGCGGGTGGATCTGACCAAGTTTCTGAAGGACCCAGGATACGATCCGGAGCCTATGCCGCAACCACCATTGCGACAGATGTCAGAACTTTTCCAACAACCTCTTTTCAAGAAAGCACGCCTTGAGCATGCACCCGATGATAGCCTGATGGTGGAGAACACCAACGACACCTTCATGTGCTGCATGGATTTGCCTTTGCCTCAGAAGAATATGGAATGGAAGCGTTTGAAGCGCTCCCCAGAGAACTTTTATGCGAAGAAGCTCAAGGGCGTGGAGGTGAAATGGCATACCCTCTCCTCTGAGGACAAGATCGCCTTTGACAAGGCGAAGATGACTGAAGTCAATGCCTGGCTGGCAGCTCGGGCAGTTCGCCGAGCGAGCGCGGACTTCCCTCGTGAGAGGTTGGTCCGAATGCGCTGGGTGCTGACTAGAAAGGGCGATGGCACGCCGAAGGGCAGGATCGTGCTCATTGGTTATGAAGACCCCGATCTTTCCAGCATCCAATCTGCAGCACCAACTATGAGCCGACGGACGCGGCAATTGGGGTTGCAGTATGCCAGCATTCGCCGATGGCGTTGTCTCAAAGCGGACGTCAAAGCTGCTTTCCTCCAAGGAGGCAGTGTTGAAGAGCCAAGAGACCTCTTTGCACTTCCAGTGCCGGAACTAGCTTTGGCGCTGGGCTTGAAAGAAGGAGAAGCAGTTCAAATCCTCAAGGCATGTTATGGACTTGTCCATGCTCCTGCACGTTGGTTCGAATGCGTGCGTGATGCATTGCTCGAGCTGGGCTTTGTGCAGAGCAAAACAGACCCCTGCTTGTGGATTTTCTACACCATGGACTCCAACGGTGTCAAGCAGACGTCTGGCTTTATATGTTCTCACGTGGATGATTTTCTGATCGCAGGCGATGAGAGCTGCGATGATTGGATTCAGGCCTTGAACAGCTTCTATGAAAGGTTTTCTTGGTCCCCTTGGGAATGCAATAGCTTCATGCACTGTGGTGTGAGGATTAGAGAAGAACCTGACTTCTCATTCACCCTGGACCACTCTTCCTTCTGCGAAAGCATTGAAGCGGTGACCTACACCACCAAGAAGGAGCACGACAAGCTGACTGCGGACGAGGTGACGCAGCTGCGTGGAGTGTTGGGAGCATTGCAGTGGCGTGGACAGCAGACCGCGCCCCACCTGATGGCCAAGATTGGGCAGTTGCAAAGCTCAATCACCAAGGCCAATCTGGAGACAGTCAAGGCAGCCAACAAACTGGTGAGAGAGTGCTTTCAAACCAGATTCCTCTCTACCAAAATCAACCAGTTGAACTTGGAGGACCCCAAAGAGGTGCAGTTCGTGGCATGGTCCGACGCAGCCTTGGCGAACAGAATCGACTTGAGCAGCACTGGCGGCTACGTCATTGCGGCGACCACCCCTGAGATGACCTTAGGAAAGCGGTCACCGTTGACTTTGGTAGGCTGGCGTTCATGTCGTTTGCCGAGAAAAGCTCGGTCATCTTTAGCAGCAGAAGCACAAGCCATGTCAGAAGCTGATCAAGAACTTGTTTTTGTCAGACTGGCTTGGGCAGAATTTTGCGCGATAGATGTAGACCTAGCCAAGAGCGAAAGTGCCATTTCACGAGTTCCCGGCACAGTAGTGACAGATGCCAAGGCTCTCTACGACATTTTGTCCAAGAGAGATTTGAATTCGGCCGGAGTTGGGTTACGTGACAAATACACAGCTCTGGAAATTTTGTGTTTGCTGGAGTCGATTGGAAAGCAGAAGACTTCAGTACGATGGGTCCATAGCGATGCACAGCTAGCGGACCATCTAACCAAACCCCTGCCAATTGGAACTCTTCACAAAGTGATGAATGAAGGTTTTTGGACATTGGTGTATGACCCAGATTTCACCAGTGCCAAACGTTTGAAGAAAGCGGCCAAGAGTGAGAACTTCAATCAAGATCTTAGGGGCATGTCAGAGACTGAACTTGACAGCCATTTGATTCATGAGCATGTCCACATGTCAGATTTGTGTTGATTTGCGTTGCTCACTCTGGGCCCAATTTCCATTTTGCAGGGCTCCCTTTTGCCATATCGCACCATCGTACCGATGGCCCTCGCTACGGCGTGAGAAAAGCTTTGCCCGGGCGCAATTGCATTTGTTGGCTTTGGTGTCAACTTGGAACTTTTGATCTTGCAGTAGATCAGCATTGGCATAGGAGTCAATACAACAGTTAGCAATTCCATCCTCTTTTCTGTTTGAAACATCAGAGGCTTGCTTGCTACCAATACTTAGACCAGATTGCTCAGTTATCCCAGTTTCCGTCGGATGTTTTTTTGGGGGGAGGAGGGGATTTCGTGTTTCCCTTTTGTTTTTCAGATTTTTCAGTTTGGCTTTGTTTTTTCCCCTTCCCGTTTTACAAGTTGGAAGTGTGTTAAGATCGAGTCTAAATTCACTTAACTGAATGTAATATTAAATTTCGATTGATTTTAGAATATACTTTAAATTAAGTTCACATCAGTTTTAATATAGACTTAAAGAAGCTTCGGATTAATTCAAAATTGATTTAAGATTTAAGACTAATTTTAGAATCAATTTGCAATCGGATAGATTTACCAGAAAAATCAACCATAAAACCAATTTGGAAAAAAATGTGCCCCTTTCCAGCATTTTCCAGCACTTAGCCAAAACATTCAATTCAATTCACAATCTGACCATCGCCAAAGGAGAGGCTGCATGCAGCCGCGCCGTGCCCTGACGCCACATGCCGATGCGCCCTCCGGCCCGTCCGCGCAAGCCTCGCAAGGGCGAGCTGTGCCTCAAAGAGGGGCCAGCCGGTGGCTCGGCATTCAGAATTGGAAGGCGTAGATGGTAGAAGGATGGGCCCATGAATCATATCATGGATGGGTTCCCGTTGTGTTGTTCATTGGATTTGGATGATTTGGCCTCTTTTTCTTTCTTTTTCTTTCCTTTTCATTCTTTTTCCATGGTGTAAACTGTGATGTACTACAGTTGCCCCCCGAAAGCCGAGGTAATTCGGATAGCCCTGGGCATAGTTGATCTCCCAAGTCATGTAACCCCATGGGTTCCAAAGCAAGGCCAGCCAGCGGCTGCGCGCGTTCGAATGGACGAGCGGATCGCCCAAAGAAGCAGCTGGGGACGAGGTGTTGTGGAGAGGATTGGAGAGGTTGGTTGTGGTAAAAATTGCGTACCTTTGGCGATAAAAGCATGGAGAAGACATAATGAAACATGATGACACATATAATTATACATAATTAGACGCTTAATTATACTGTACTTGTGCACCTGGGGTATCTAATTGTAGGATCTCGTACGCACATGTGATTGGGTGGGTTAAGCGCCCTCTAAAAACGGCATGAAATTCTCTGGTTCAAAAATCGCACGTTTTTCTGTCTGTGACTCAAGGGTCCCAATCTGAGAATCGAGAGGCAGAACCACCCATCACATTCATGAGGAAGCTCAACACTCAACACCGTCTCAGACTTGCCTGATTGAGTCCAGCTATATCATAATCCAGCTGACGGATACTTTGATGTCCCACCAGACCAACCCCTCACACCTGTGGTCAAAAAGTGCACACGGAAACCCACAGGTACTGTAGACAGCCCCATGTAACATACGCTGTTTATATATTTTACTTTCGAAGTCTGGCCAGTCACAAGGGTATGTGTTTGGAGTGCCATACTGGCAGGCCACCAGCCAGTCCACAAGTTGGCAGCCCTTTGCGGCAAGCATTCTTCAAGGCATCTTGGGACGAGGATATGTGAGGACAAGACAAGCATGATTGGGAAAAAAAAGGATGATTCCACTCTCATCAGCTCATTTGCCTTGACAAGTCTTAACTAATTGTGCAATTCTCATCTGTGTGTTGGTTGGTTGACCATGTTGACCATCACTTGTATGACCAGCACTTGGATGATGTTTAATTAGTTAAGCTCCCGGTCGCCAGCTGAGTTCGGATAACTTATCTTTCATCTGCCAGGGCAAGCGGAACATCGTCGAGGAAGCCACACCTATTGCGAAGAGGCGAAGTTGGGACCCAATCCTGTGGACCGGACATGGACCGTCTGACAAGGACAGCAGAAACTGCGGCTTTGTCACATTCGAAGCATATGATATAATAACTAGATATTTGACGATTTTGTTTAAATATTTTTTCATCCCAACTCTCGAACAAAATGTCACAATATGTCACCATTTCATATAAATTCATGACATGCAATGACATGCAATGACATGCAATGACATGCAATGACCATCAGGTTTCAGCTGCTTCAGCTGGTGAACCAATAATGGGGGATGGTTTGGGCGCTCCTCATAAGAAACTATGTCTCCTGGGGATATCAAATATATTCAAACATCCTATTTGAACATATTGGAACTGTTTCGCAACTGTTTTTTCCTTCAACCAGTTGCCCGTGTTTTTATGAGTCATCTCACTTGAAACATTTCAACACTGCAAAAGACTCCGAACCCGTGCTTGTAGATTCAGATCTCACCGTACAGTAAGACGGGGAATGCGAGGTTCAACAAATCTCTACCACCCACCACCTTTCTAAGCATAATGTTGACCTTTGATTTATCAATAGGGCCCCCCCCCAGTCTTTGCCCCTAAATAAAGTTAAAACCACCATCAAACTTGTTTGTATGTATTGGTTTTCAATTATCACAATTAAAAATTATAATATAAAATGCAATTTCCAAAAGAATAAGGAATCCAACAATTGTTTTAGTATTGATTTAGTATTCATCTGGGCAAATCTGGGTTTAGGGCCCAAAACAATTAGCTTTATTTAGGGGTCATTTATTATTTAGTTTGGGAGTTTGGTTAGCTTTATTTAGGGGGAGTTTTAAAATCGTAGGTGAACATTAGCTACTATCTACAACTATCTACCGTATATTTTCCATCATCGCCACATACGATGGGCTTTCACCCTGTTAGCTATAAGATTATCGGTTGATTTGTAATATGTTATTATGTTGTGTCGTGGTTGGATACATTTTTAAATATATATCTATATAATTCTATATATAATTATATCCGTTCACTCAATGTTGGTTGGTTAAACTTAAACCTCCATTTTTCTCGTTTTCAAATCCCTTTATGGCCGCCAAGTTGGCCATGTCTAGGCGCCGCCATGCTGTGGAGACCCTCCAGCATTGCTTTGGCGCAGATTTGGTGCTGCCCCCTGAGACACCGCTAGAGGAGCTGGAACGCCTGGTGGAAGACACGCAGATGGAGCAGGTTCAGCACATGGTGATCCAAATGGTTGATGGATCATGATGGATGTTTAAACACTGAACCGTAGTTTATAATGGCATGGGCCATGCATGGGGACTTTACAATGGGGATTTTCAATGGGGATGTTTCCTTCTATCAGGGGGTTTACAATGGGGATGCATAGTTTCGGATGTTTGGGGAGGCTTATCGTAGATGATTTACATGATTTGCATTGATTTATATGTATACATTGATTTACATTGACATACATTGATTTACAGTAAATCATTTACCTGTCAAAGATGGTGGTTATTCATGGTTTTCCTACATTAGGTTAGATTACCAAAGGGTATCCAAATGGTTTGAGCATCCGTGCTTACAAAGCGGGGTCTTAGAACTGGGATTGCATCTGGGTTTATATTTGATGATGACTATGATGGTTCATGGCATTTATAATAGGACAAATGATGCCGGGCAACGGGTTGTATAGGGTGTTGGTTTGACATGGTTGAACCGAATCAGGAACTATCCATTCATTTTGTTTTATAGATTAAAGACGTGTGCGATTCACCACGCGGTAAGCTACAGTCGGCGTGACAAGATGTGTTTGGGTCTGAGTTTGTGCTCCTACACCTTTCACACGGCCAAATTCCACTGCAATCATGATTAATCTACAGTAAACATTTCTGAGCTCTACGCAGACATATCCACTAGGAAGATGCTCTTTCAAATCAGCTGTTTGGGGGGTTCCATGTTGAAATCCATATTGAGGCATGAGTTGGAGATCATATTTTCATCCTCCACGCTCGGTCAATCGCTCGAAGCTGGCGACGCAGGTGTCGCAGTGCACGACGGTTCCGGGAAGCAGTCTATTTCGATGCTTAAGTTTGGATTAGGACAGGCCGCCCGAATTGAAGAATGGGCGAGATTTGGGTTCCCCAAAAATTACAATTCGTATAGTATTAATTAGTAGGGAATTCAGTGGGTGCAACAAAATTCCTGATTTTGACCTATTCCCGGCTGTGAACTCTCGTTTTGGGTGTCAGGGTCAGCTCGTTTTTGAGTATTTGCTCAGCAAATGTCGATGCACCATGACAATCGGGATCCGTCCCGTGGACATGCCAAAACGACCTGTCGACGGGCCCGGTCCAGGGTCCAAGGCAGTTGGTGTTGCGGGTTGCAGGATGGCAGCGAGCACATCCATTGACGAGCGAAGCTGAATCGTGATTCGAGGAGCAAAGGAGCCTCCCCCTGCTAGCTGCAGAATTTCACGTGGGATATATATACACAAAGATTTGATGATTTTGATGTGGCGGAAGTATCCAGAAGTATCGAAACCGGTTGGCAATAATGAAACACTTATGCTGTGGCCCAACAAAGGGGCACGACTTCCAGCAAATGATTTTCCCGCAAAAGTTTCTCTACAGTGGAGCCATCACTTGGATTAACCGCCCTTGAGCTGCGGGCTGCACTGGCTGGCAGCAGGATGAGGCACGTGATTGCAGCGTATTGCAGCACATTTTCCAATCGGAAGCCGTTTGGATGCTTCCTCTTGAGGTAGGGGATTGGACGCAAGCAACGCGTCATTCCAGAGGCAGTTGCTGCCTTAAATTCGTCGTGTCCAACAGTTTGTTGGGCCCCTTTAATTTGTGCAACATTCACTGCCCGAGTTCAAATATTTTCTTAGAGAGCGAGAAGTGCTGCACCATTGGGAGACGACCCGCGAGAAAGGGTGAAAAAAAGTAACCCATTCGCCTAGAAATTGGTGCAGGATTTCTTCCGTCAATAGGAGGGCTGGGAGGCCCAAGAGTTTTTTTTGCCAGTTTGACCTGCCACTGTGTTGATGCAGACAATCGCATAGGTATGCTGACTAGCATGCATCACAGCAAACATTTGTGTAAGTTCCGATGTTCCAATAAAAGGAAACCACAGCCACAGATTTGCAACGGTCATCCTACCATCTCCTTTGCAAAGTCCTTGAGGGAGCAGGATTGCCTTTTTTGAGGTAGTTAAGGGATGATTGCTACACACTGACCTAGAAGTAAAATGAAGTCAATGTGAAAATTCACTGAAAACACTTCAATCCGAAGTGAGTGTAGTGTTTATCCATGTTTATCCCATGGGCAATTTGATCGCTCAAATTACACATCTTACATCATCTTACTACTTCCAGATGTTGCCCGTGCCTCGATGGATTCGTTCTACTCAACAGGCAGGTCAGCTGGCCGTCACCAACTAGGAACCTGCTCGCTGGGGGGGTACACCAGCTGCGGGGAAAAAAGTGGGGACCATTGGGACGGCCTGGGACGGCCTGGGACGGCTGTCACAAAATGTGAATGGGAAGCAAACGGCGTCCGTAAGCCGTAAGCGCGACAATGAGAATTTACAAATATATACAAATATGATCATCATATATAATTATGAATATTATGATAGATAACATGGATCATAATGAATCACACATATATATATATGATTATATATATGTGTGGGTGATATGTATTTAAAATCTGTATTTATAATTATTTATAGATATATAATAGATATATACACAATACGAATATGAATATGCGTATCATAGTGTATCATTACGAAATCCCATGAAAAATAATGCTGAGCATTTACCATCATACATGTAAACGTTATTCAACAAGGCCCGGATCGTTGGTTGGACTGCTTGAAAGCTTTCCTGAGCCACAAAGCAAGATCATGGAAGGCAGCAGTGGCATGGCTGTGAGTTTACCATGGTATGCACGCAATCTCCTTTGTGATTCCACTACTACTACAGGGGAAGTGAGTGAAAATCCGTGGCTCAAGATTGACAGGCCTAAATTAAACTTGAACGGCTTAGTATTGAAAAAAATGAAAAAGATTGCACCTCTGGGGGTCCTTTAGCACAGAACTTTCGATGTTAGTCAAAACCTTGGGACCCCAGGAGCGCAAAGATAGCAGGCAAATGGATGTTTATCCCCCTAAACAATATAATATATATTATATATATATATATAATATATATAATATATATAATATATATAATATATATAATATACAGATAGATAGATAGATAGATAGATAGATAAGATAAGATAAGATGAGATGAGATGAGATAAGATGATAAGATAAGATAAGATAAGATAAGATAAGAATAGATAGATAGATAGATAGATAGTAATAAAATGTAATAAAATGTAATAAAATGTAATAAAATGTAATAAAATGTAATAACATGTAATAACATGTAATAACATGTAATAAAATGTAATAAAATGTAATAACATGTAATAACATGTAATAAAATGTAATAAAATGTAATAACATGTAATAAAATGTAATAAAATGTAATAAAATGTAATAAAATGTAAAAAAACATGTAATAAAATGTAATAAAATGTAATAAAATGTAATAAAATGTAATAAAATGAAATAAAATGTAATAAATTGTAATAAAATGTAATAAAATGCAATAAAATGTAATAAAATGTAATAAAATGTAATAATAGGTTTTGACCCATCCCCATATCAATAGATACCCAGCGCCCTTGGACCACTCCCGGTGCCGGGATGGCCGCCATGGCGCTTTCCCGGGTGCATCCCGCACGCTGGAGCGAAACTGCTCGCTCACCTGGGGCCAGGCGACTGGGGAGCGCAGCAGTGCCAGGTGCAGCTCGGGTCTTGTTTCTGTGTGAAACACCAATGTTTTAGGCTGGGAAATATAGGGGAAAACCCATGGAAAATCATCGAATATATATTTGGGAAACTATGGGAACCTCATTTGTAAAACTTCAACTGCGGATTCAGCAGGCAAAATTAATCGAAACTGGGCCAAAACTGGTGGTCCAATGATGGGGAAAACCAAGACATGCCTTTAAAGGACTGCATGGGACAAGGATGATCACAAGGATGATCACAAGGATGATCACACGTGTGCTGCCTACCAATACAGCATGATATGCCTCTCCAAAAGACCACAGGAGCTATAGCTACAAGTCATCCAAGTATGGCCCCCACAAAGATGAAATGGAAATTGGACAAAAAGGTTCCAACATGTATATAACTCTTCTTGTGAATAGGATATGGCGGCATGTTATAGATTGATATAGTATTTGAATGTGTTTGGTCTGTATCTGGGCCCCATCTCGGGCTATACAAAAATTTGGCAAAGCTGGCTGAAGTCCTCAGAGGCATCCAGAGCGCCCGCCATAGCGGGCTGTGTGGCGTCGTGCTTGGCTGGATGGCCGGCGTGGGACTCAAAGATCCTGGTCTCACAGGGGTGAGCATTGATCCTCGAGTTCTTTCGCATTGATCCAACTGGATGGTCCCTGAAGAGGCCAAAACCCATGCAGAGAAGCTAAACTAAATTGATCTAAATCGAAACTGATCCAATTTAGCGTAAAGAATTTAGGTCAAAGGAGCCGACAGCACCGCGCAGCCAGCCGGAGCAGGAGTAGACTTTCAAGTGATTCAGGGGCTCTTCTCTGCCCATGCTCATCAGACTATCCCATGTTGTTCTATGCCCTTACCCTTGCTGTTACTATCTACCTTTTGCTGTCTCTTGCCATGACAGTGCCGTAGCCATTCCAGGAGAAGATGCTTCCAGGGCTTTTGGGAACGCAATTCACTTGGAGACTATATGAATCGGCAGGGAAAAGTTGGGGTGTTTGCGAAAGGATGCGAAAGGTAAGACGGACATAGAATTGAATTTCTTTTGATTCATCAACAACATTCTTACGACTTAATTACGCATGCCATGATGAATATGACATTGAAGGACTCCTATTCAATCTTGAAGATGCCTGCACCTTCTGTTTGTCTCGCCGATGAATTGCAGGATTCCTCTGATTCCAGATGCATGTTTTGACATTCGCCGTTCATCAGGCTTTGGGGTGTTGCCGTGGGAGAGCCCAGGTGCATATTGTTGGTATGTGCTATGTGCTCACAGTATGTATACCAGAAGGCAAATCACCCCACTTTGAAGATCATTTACAGTAATTACACACACACGCGCGCATATATATATATAATATTTTTTTTATTATTTTCATTGTTATTTTATTATAATTGTTTCAGAGCACGGCGATGTTTTTTTTTCCGCATAGGTCTATCTTATCCTGGTAGTTCAGGTCCCTGATGGCACCTAATGGCCCTCCCAGACTTGGCTGAAGCAAAATTCTCATGAACCAATCTGAACCAACTATAATTTGATAAAAATATGTAAAAACGTGATTTCCTGTAAGTGTTCTCTTCGTTTTTGCATCCTTTCAGATGCGAACATCGTGCGCTCATGCCAAATCCATGGGCCAATCCAAGGACCCTGATAGGGGATATTGTTGGTGAAACTTGCATAGCTCATGATTTTTCAGGATGAATCTCTCAATCTTCATCAATTTTCCCACTATTTTGATCTATTTTTTGAGGATTCTTGGCTTTACTGCTCCACCTGAGGCCCTGGGAAGATCGAGTGCTGGATGCTGCAGAGGTGATCGAGCCTCAGCCACGAGTGGCGCATGCGCAGAAGCTGCGTGCAGAAATGATGAAAAGGCAGTAACAGTGCATAGATGGACAGATGGATGGATAGATTATAGATAAAACCATTAGATAGATGGATGGATGGATAGATAAATAGATAGATAGATAGATAGATAAATAGATAGATGATAGATAATCATAGATTCGATAGATACTCATAGATTCGATAGATAATCATAGATGGATAATCATAGATGGATCATCATAGATAGATAGTCATGGATAGATAATCATAGATAGATAATAGATATACAATCATAGATAGATAATCATAGACATAGACAATCATGGGCAGATGGATGGATGGATGGATGGATGGATGGATGGATGGATGGATGGATAATCATAAGTAATCATAGATAATCATGGATAATCATAGATAATCATAGATAAATTGTATGGATAGTGATAGAGATCAGTAGATACTGCAGTGGTATTCTAAGGTCAAGTTGCGTTAATGGGCACACCAGGTTGCAACACCAGTTGAGTCCCAGTGAACCCCAGTAAAGCCTCACCACGTTCTTCAGACTTTTAGATGTTTTGGAAAGCCACGAATTCTACTCATAGCATGTACTCAAAGTACCTTACCTCTAGTTAGCTTGCCAAATTTTGAGTGATGGGGCCCGCAACTGCTTGAGATGAAACTGCCTTTGCAGCTGCAGGTGATAGAAAACCAGGTTGCCATTCTCTTCATCATCTAACAACACAAAGACCACTCATTTGACATAACCCTAGTTGCAATGTGCCACATGCTCTGCTCTCCCATGAAAGTTGAGATGTGACGCGTCATGTTCGTTGCAGAGGCCCGGTGCTGGTCGTGGATGGCTGGCGCGAAGAGAGGTTGGGACTGAGTGCTTCAACTCATCGGATGGGGCATATACCAAAATCTGCTGCATCACAAGATATCACAAGTCTCAAGGACTTCCTTGTGTTCTTTTGTACGTTTGACTGGTTTTGGTCAAATTCCCTAGGCCCTACGGTGTTTTTGCGTCATATTTCAGTCGATATAGTTACACAAACACGCATATACAGCACATGTATTCCAGTACACTTCCACATTAGTCCCCTGGTTCTGTTCCAATGTGCTCAGCATTTTATTGTGACCAGCAATTGGTTTCTTGGCTTCGGAAGGTGCGCGCAGGTGAGTTGCTGATGTCCGTCAGCCGCGATGCAGCGACTGAAGTGGTCATGGATGAGATGGAGGAACGTGGAGGGATGGCAACAGAGCAGATACTGCATATGGGTTTGTCTGAAAATAGGGTAGCCCATGGTAACCGTATATTGACTGGTCAATCATCAGTTTCCCATATGTTCCCCCCAACAAAAACACCATTAGGAGTATACCTTATTCTTCAGACACGCCCATATTTTATCTTTAATCCTCCTGAATAGAATTGCCTGAATTGTATGATGGGCAAATTTACAGGACACCCTGATATTTAACTGACATTTCTATTATATACATTTCTCTTGAACTGAACTTAGACTCAGGGGCTTTGGAGGGTGTTTGATATTGAGTGTTTTGACATGATGTGGTGATTTTTGGGGGGATGCACCTGGCTGGTTTTTGGACCCTTCGATGACCTGGCGGGTCACCCTTCTGGTTACGGTTTTCCAGGGCTGGGAAGCGGAGCTGGCGGTGGCATTGCTTCGCAGGCTGGTGATGGTGTCAAAAATATGGAGGGGTAGTACCAACAAACATGGTGTTTAGAAGAAACATAAAATCATAAAAATATATAAAAGTTGAGTTATATCACATTCTATCACAACTAGTTGGTTGTTTTCCATCACCATTTGGGAAGATGAGCACAATTGATAAGAATTGAATCTTTTTTATGGACGGGCTGAAGAGCGAGCCAGAACATCTGTGGCATGAACAGATATCTACATGTAGTGAAGTGTTTTCTCATGTTTTATCATTGGTGTTCCAACCTCACCCTGCATTCTTAGTCTTTGGTGTCGAAGCTGATGCTTTTCGCAGGCTGGACTACCTGGGGCCAGCTGCAGATCCCAGGCACATGTGGAATCGCAGCTCAAATCTATTGATAAACGGAGATAAATGGAGCAATTTGCACCCAAAATGATGCCACAATGCATATATTTACAGTTATCTATCTATGCTGGTTCCATGTTTGTGGGTAGGTAGGAATGAACTACTGCAATCTCATTGATCATTGATGGCTAGGATATCGCTAAGAAGGCTATCACGGCTTGCCGTAACCATTTGTTGCCAAAAGTTGAAGTTTGAAATTCGGAGATTCCTGCGATGTGTCGCCAGAGCTGATGCTTTAAGACTGAGGTCCCAACGTGAGGCATACCTTACCCATCCTTACCCCAAAATCGCAACTGAACCGTTGCACTTTCGGCATGCCTCTGAAGGCTCCGGCAAAGCGATGAGATGCAGGCCGGTCCTGAGTGTCATTTGACCATTTGCCAAAAATAATTGACAGAAGTTTTGCACTAGTTGTTGAATGTTGTTGATAGTTAGTGTGGACCTAGTTGTTTTTCCTCTTCGTTATGAGGCGGCACGCAACTAAATTCACCAATTCTGCAAGGCAGCGCTAGCAAACCCGCTAGGTTTGCGCTAGGTTTTTTTTTCCACACCCATGTTCAAGATTGTTCAAGGATATTTTTTTGTGTTCCTGTCTGCTTGTTATTTCAACACGAGGAAAAGTCAAAATGTAACACTTAGCTCCTTAAACCAAAGGATGTCTTAGTCAATTTCTGTGCTACTCAACAATTTTCATATATTTTTGAGGTTGCGGCTCATCTTTGCGAATTTGTACATAATTTTACCCGCTAGATCCCCGCTAGCAATGCGCTAGCAAAAGTTTCAAAGAACGGCTTTGGCTGACCCGTGACCCAGTCGCCACCAGAGAACTTGTAGTTTATCCTGTCTGTTTGACAAAAGCAACAGTGACAGCAAAGGCAACGACCAGCTCTGCAGATATTCCAGTTCCACCACTAACAACTAGCAGCTGCACCCACTTCATATAGACGCGCGTTAGCATTTACTGCAGGTTTTAGCTACGGCTTCAAACACGAAAAATCAAATGCAGGGTTTCAGACTATCTAGGTCAGTCATGGTTTTAAAGGCACAATAAGAAGCGGCACGCAAGGAATTACGATTTATCAACAAAAGCAGGAAAAGGCATTTTGGCAAACCGTCATTTGGATTCCACTGGTTTCCTGCAGTCCAAAGACGGTTGTCATCGATTAGCCTTCAAAGTCCACTGTCACAGGAGGCTGGATGAGGTTGGGGTCATCCTAAGAATCATTGATCACCGCTGAGGTATTTGGATACCCTATTCTGGGACAAACCCATATAAACAGAAAATTGCAGAATCAAAATTGTCAGACATTCATATTCCAACAAAAACCATAGAGCACTACAAAGAAACACAATTACCATAGAATGACCCGATATCATAGAGTATAATATTAGTCATAATCAACATATATCAAAATAATGACATGGATAACTCTGAAGGGTCTTTTGGAAATCTTCGGACAACAAGTGACAGGACCTGTGGAAGGACTACAGCAGGCTCTTTCCAAAGCCTGTGGGAGCCGCGTGGCTTGGCGTTCAGTGCTTTCAGCCTGCTGGGCATGACATGACGTGGTGTTCGACTCTTGCTCCATTTTTATCCAATTATCAAACACCTTCTGATAATTTGCCATGGAAACCATGGCCGGTTTATAGTCAGTTATACTATGTTCTACCGAATTTAGCATATGAGTGGTGATTGTCCATGGCAAAGAGTTAAACTACCAGAGGGTAGATGTTCGAAAACCAACTTCTATTGGAAGCTTCGCTTGAACCATGTTGACTGGGGCAGCTTCGGAAGCTGACAGCTCAAGGTAGAAATGGCGAAATGGTGACAGCTCAAGGGGTCCAGAAACCGGAGAAATTGCTATGAGATGGGCTTCTACTAGCGGCTACTAGACTGTTTTTTTCATATGTTTGTGTTTGAATGAACAGATGCTTAAGATGGTACTGCATTGGCGCGTGTATGATATGCATATGTAGAGCATATTATGTACGGTACGGCTTACAGAACGCAAAGCAAGCAAACAGTTGACTTGAGGTTATACACAAACAAGCACACACATATATATATAAATAAATAGTAATCATAATAATAATCATAATAATAATAATAATAAATGCCTACGGATGTGTTACCTACATCTTGATCCAGGGCAGTTTGAACTATCCACAGCCAGAGATTGCGTCAGAACTGCAACGGGCACATGACTGGGCAAACGACCCATGGCACCATGGGTGCGTTTCGCTGGTGCCATTTTGGTGGAGGCCGAGGGGTACCCAAAATGGCACCGCCGGTTGGTGTCTTTTTCAATAGAAGGATGACAGACCAACTGGTGGCGCGCTTTCTTGAAACAACAAAAACAACTTTGTTGTTGTTTTTGCAAATGAGACTCACAATGTTACCATTATGAAGGATACCACTATTGCTGTACATAAATTCTATAAATATTATAAATAGAAAGTATTGTCCCAGTTTTGGATAGCGCGTTCCAGTGAAACCAACCCTGATCGCTGCGATTCGCATGGCCACAGGCACTGGGAGATCGCTTGCATGACCTGGCTCAGGTAGGCCTGAATTTTGGTTCCTTGGTTGATGATTTGGAATGATTTGGATATATGATGATGATATGATATAAGAAGCAAATGTAGAACAATCCCGTTTGGATCCTTTCAACTTGTCTATTTGTGTTTCTGCTTCCTTTTGATGTCAGGGCGAGCGACTTGGAAACGTGGAGAGACTTATACATCTGAAACAGAAACCAGCTGTTTTCCGTATTTGTTTGGGATAGCGGATAGCATTCCCCCAGCTTTCAAGTGTCACTCAAGAAATTGGGTCTACAAACTGGTGTTCCTCTTCAGGCATATTCAGGTCCATGTATGGGGCATTGAGGCCATACCTACCAGCTGGTGAAGAATTGTGGCACTTCGCCTGCAAGACATGTTCGAGATTTTGTTCAGACCGTGTATTATGCAGGAAAGCCACATGCTGCGCTGCGATATATTAATCACACAATGGATGATATCATTCTAGAGTCGTTCCGTGTACCATTTGTGATTTGGACGCACAACCAGGCGATGAAAATCCTTTGTTGGAGTTGCTGCAAGAACCAGAGAGGCGGGCAGGAATCATGTGAAGTTCATCCTGGATTAAGTACTTCACTACCGTTTCTTTCTTGAAACTAGGGTGCCCCCAAGTGGTTTCATCAGGCTTCATCATGTCATCATGTTCCCATAGTTTCATAGTTCCTTTTTCGTTGGTGTCGCCCCATTTTGAGGCCGCTATGGGGAAGCTGAATTCTGACCCCCTCGGCAGGTTGCCGGCCGGGACCCTTCGGAGGCTGCTGCGAGAAGCTGCGCGACCTAGTGACTTGGCGTGCCAACTGATAGGCAGGAGTTATTTAGGATATTGCCACCATCATTTATAGGAGTATCCGCCATCAACATTCCCCTACGAATTTAACCTACAAAGTTTGTGACCTTGTGCCTCTTACAGAGGCTTCCATTTTAGTCAGGTCAGGCTAACCGTGACATGAAATCCAGGCCCAAGATTTTGTAGCTTAAACTTGTGAATCTCATTTTATAAAGGAATCAATTTAATCATGTTAGCCCATCATAGTGGCATTTTGTAAGAAAACATGATGAGCTTCATGACGTAGGGGAAGAATATGACAGTATTCAAGTTCGTCCGTTTTTCAAGGTTGTTGAAACTGAATTGGCATTTTGTAGCTAAGGCCATTTTGGGAAAAATGGAGCTCAGCAACCTCATTCTATAGCCCCAAGCTTGTGAATATTTATTGTAACCTGCAGAGTTAGGGTCACAACGTCTCCCCTGAAAATCAATGGGGGATCCATCAACTATAATAGGGATTTATTGTTATTTTTTATATGTTTTTTTAAAGTAATAATATATGTATATATATATACCATGAATCATGGGATATTACTGGTATATCTTGGGATGCTCTCTGTAACTCACTCCCAAACTTGTCGTGGTGAGTAGGTGTGGCTGAAAATGGGACGTAGCCCCAATCCAGAGCAATTTTAATGGTAAACAGATGTGAAATGATCATTGAAATTGGGGGTGCCCTATGTTTTACTCATGCAGGTGATGTATTACTTCTTGGCTAATGAAGTGTTTTGGGGAAACTAAGTCTAAGTGATGCTTTTTGGGAGGACCCTTTGGAAAATCCAAGGGCAGTAACATGTCAGCCATGGAAAGCCACCAGGTGCAGATGATGTTCCATGATTTAATGATTTTGCTATGGAAGATGAGGGATTGTTGGCCATGTTATGGCCGAGCCAAGGAACCCCTGGGGCCCGACTCAAAACGGAGATGCCCAGCCCAGGTGTCCTCTTCCTGTCAGATCTCCTGAAGGAGCTTCAGGGTCACAACATGGCCCTTTTTGACCTGGCCACAGGTGGGGTGCAAACTTCAAACCACTGACTGTGAGAGACTGAGCCACCCACAAGTTTGCATCAGCTATCGAACAGCATGGACTCTTAGACTTCCATAGGTTTCCATGGTCCATCGCTTTCGAATCGAAGCGTGCAAGAGATGCTCCCGAACATTTTGTGTGATGGCAGTATGTAGATTAACTATGATTAACTGTTGATGACTTTTGCACTTGTTCGGATGAGGTTATAGCCATCGATGCTTTGTGGAAGCAGAGCCACTGAGCTGCATTCAGCAGAAGTTTGAGATGGCCTGCGTGCCGAGCCTCAGGTGCCAAGCCCATGCTGCATTGGGCCAAAGATTGGCAGAGCTGGAAGGTTCCATGGCGAGATGTGGCACCCGGGGGGATATGGGAATTTTGTGCAGCAATTCTCCTGCAACTATCTTCAATTTCCCTTTCCACTGTTTTGGATGTAGTTTCTTGTAGGCGGCTGAAGGAGTTCCAGCTGAGTACAGTATATAGATTCTTTTAAGATTCTGAAATGGGGGTGCACTCAGCCAGCTACAGGCAAGTACCTGGCAGCAACAGCACGGCTGCTCGGATGCAAAGAACACATAGGTCCACCTGGTCCAACATTATATACTCAGCTGTCGGCTGGCATCAAACACACCTAGACTAGATACCAGGCTAAAGTGAGCGAAACAAAGCGAAACCACTCTAAACTTTGGACATTTTTGGACATCGTTTTTACCACAGCACGTGCCAATTTCACTGCCAATGTTTTCGACTGGTAGGGCAAGCCGCACAAAGCCAGGGCTGAGGAGAAAACAGAAACTGGATGCGATGGGCAGCACCGTGCACATGTTGAATGATGACTTCGATGTTCACACAGTATGTAGCCAGGGAATGTGCAATGCCAGGTATGATATTTATTGTGGCAAGCCAGACTGCCTTGAAACTTTGAAACAAACATGATTCTATGATATTGAAATGAAAGAGCGAATGTGCTCAGCAGGTATTCAGATTCATCAGCCGGGCAGTTTTGGTTACTTGAGCAGAAGGCATAGTCACCTGGTGTCATATTTCATGGCAACGCTACGAAATATCTTCCAACGAGATTAGACCAAGTAGAGCTTCCAACCCGGCGGTGAGTGAAATCAATTGATGGCATCATTGGTTGCCAAAGATACTTTGAGCTCAGATTCCCAATAGCTATCCCTGGTGTCAAAATGGAGCATGTCCAAGCTGGAAATTACACGAAATTGCATGAAATGACCATCCCATTTTGTCTACCCATGTGTATATGAGTATGTATCATTATGAGTCATTATGAATCAGTATATCGTTTATATTCCACACACACACATATATATATATTATATTACCAGCATTTTTGAGGTATTTTGAGTTACCTCACATTACTTATGGACAGCCACAGGCCCAATAAAGTCATCTGACGGCGTGAAGCCAGGCTGATGCTTCGTGGCAATGAGCTCACTGGCCTAGCACCTCGGCTGAAACTGGGATACTACCCTCTGGTAAACTAACATAGCTATTGAAAATGGCCATTTATAGTGGATTTTCCCATTAAAAATGGTGATTTTCAATAGCTATGTTAAATTACCAGAGGGTAATCATGATAATTACATAATGATTCATCAATGAATTTTGAGGTGCCGTGTTTTTTTTTTTGGATGACTTTGGGGTGATCCTTTGGATGACTAACATGTTTCAAACAAAGTGTGTTTGTCAGTGATGCGCAGATCCTTTGAGGAGTTCTTTTAGCTGGTTTGCTGATGTTTTAGGCAATTATATATATATATATATATATATATGCGTATATGTATATATATATGTATATATATATATATATGAGTATATATATATACACTATCATGTTATTAGCTAAATTACTATATATTATTACACCTATGTTTATATATTATAGTATGCATATACATACACAAACACACATATGATAGAATATGATAGATTATCTCATGTATGTTACGTTTTATACTATAAATTATATAGTTTCCAGAATGAAAGGATTATCCCCAACTCAATTTCTTGAATCCGTGAGGTTCCTTGGCCTCACGGCTTGCGCAGTCCCAGTGCGGTGGTGGCACGCTTCGGCTTCGATGCAGCGCATTTGGACTTCGCACAGAATGTGCCGAGCCGTGGTGATTTTGGGATGCTTAAAATCCTGTGAAAATCCTTGTAGGTTTAATAAAATGATTAATTAATTATGTAATTACAGTATGAATATAGTGCATATATATATATATGTATGCATACATGGTACCCTATCAAAGCATACCCTTTAGTATTTTACAGTGTATGCACGTGTTGATAGACTGCCAACTCACAGATTTCACAGCCATCTAGAGCCAGCTTGCTGGACTACAGAAGGAAATGGCCGACAAACGTGCACTCAAGTTACCCACAGATGTGGTGTGTGGTGTCAAACGGCTTGTTGACTGCCATTGGCATTGGCTAGGTGCACTCCGCCCTGGAGTCGTCCGGCTTTGAGGTCAGGGCGCATCCTGGAATCTGGTGGCCAAAGTTGTTCGGTCATGTTCGGTCCAAATATCACCACCATTGTCCAAGTCGTTCCAAATCTATAGCAGTTGCATATTTTTCAGTCATTGGAGTCATGACGCAATTACTACTTTCATGCATGATATTGTGATGTGGCATCCCTCATCATGTTGATGTATGGCTATGTCAATATTTAATTTGTCAACCACGCTTTAGGTTTTTGAAACTGTGTTTCCACGGCCAGTTTGTGATTGTATTTGCAGGGATAAACCTCCATAATTGCCAGCTAAAATTTGGACGTTCATGTAAGCAATCTTCAAAACCCTTGCTGGTTGATGATTAGAGGACATATCATACTACCAAAAAATATGTGTATATATATATTGTTATGGATTTAATCACAATCCATAAGCTCAGACTTCCGGTCTGAACCAACCCAGAACCAGCAGGAACCTCTGGGTGCCGCCAGTGCCTTGCACGATTTAGCCTTGCGCCGCGCCACCGCCTTGTGCCGTCTCCAAGCCGAGCCACTCTGTCTCAGGATGTGGGTGGGTTCACCAGACACAAGGGACATCATCAGCGATAGTACCCTTTGGTCATCTAATCTAATTAACATAGCTGGGGAAATGGCCATCCCAAGATGTTTCAGCTCAAGTCGTGGGGATGCATTTCCCATGGCCATGGCTAAGGCTTTTGGCTTTTGCCTCACTGGATTTGCTGGGCTCGCAGCTGCAAGAGAGGCTGGGATATAGTGGCGACTGTGCGACTGTTTTTGCCACAACGAGGCTCAATCAGCTAGCTGATTGCCTTCAATGATGTTGTGAAATGTTTTGAGAACCTATGACTGAGACCCTCAAAATTGTAGCTGTCAAAAATTCATCACCCAAGGATGTGCATACAACCTGAATTGAGTCACCGTACGAGCATAATCCCAGCTCTGGGTTGTCCATATAATTATATATATAATCTTATCACCACGAGATTGTCAGCCATTATAGCCAGGTCATTCTATTGACCATTCCAGCACAAGCACCCTCCAGCTATAATCATAGCAAAGGAGGAATTGTGGATTCGTGACCCGCAGAAAGTGCCCCATGTTTGTTGCCTCATATCCCCCATGTTCTGGGTCAGTTTTCCCCAATTCTTCTTTCAGTATTGTAATAATTACAGTATCTCTAACGTCATATTATGAAATTTTTGTCTATGGTTAAGCAATAGGATCCACCATCCCCAATTCTGCCATAAATGGGTGGCATAAACCAACAAAACATTGGTGGTTTATTATTGCTTGACTTACGTTGATTATCATTAATGATTAACCATTAATAATCGCCATGAATTATCAATGACTAATTAGCCATGATTGACCAGTATTAACCATCATTAACCATTATTGTTAACCATGGTTAACCATGGTTATTTGTTTGTTTCCCTCGGCAATTTGCAGTGCGGCAGGCTACGCTCCCCGGCGACGTTCCCGCGCTTTGAGTTTCATCCTGCCTGCTGTCGGCGTCCCCTGGCGCTAAATCGGGATTGTCCCTCTAATTTTGGGGGAAAACATGGAACACAATGGTGAGTTTTATGATAAATGGTAATTTTCAGAATGACTAATTGTAGATATGACCTTCCCGCCGCCAAGTCCAAGCGTACGGCCTCCATTGTGGTTATATTAACCAATGGACAATATTGGTTAAATTTCCAATAATGGTTATATTTCCAATAATAATAATCAATGGATAATTAATGGTGATAATTAGTGATTATTATTTTGGTGATAATCAATAGTACATTACTGGAGATAATTTTCATGGTGATGATTATTGGTAATTTAACCAATGATGATAACTAATGCTGATTATTATTGGTTAACAATGGTTAAATCACAATTCCCCGCATATGCATATGAATTTCCAACATCTTCCAGCAAGACTTGGGATTTAAAGTTTCAAGGTTAGGTTTATTAACAGGGGGGGTATTAGTAACCATCGGGAGTTTGATTTTAGGTATGTTGCTGCATGTAGGTTCATTCACCTCATGATTGCTGGTCAAATTGCTTTGTGGCATGGTCACATGTCCCACGAGATTGGTATGGGAGGATTACGTTGCCTGAACAACGAAGTACAGTATATATATAGATCCAAGATGATCCAATCCAAGTGCTTGTTTTCCTGATCGAATCCGGTTCCAGACAGCAACTGAGCTTGACCCCCAACTGGTTGGAGGTGCCAGATGAGCTGTGCCCAGCCAGGCTACCATGTGTTGGCCGAGCTTCTGGAAACACAGCTGGGAGCGGGAGCGTCTTTGGTGCCCGCGAGGCCCTTGCGGCTCTTGGAGGTCGGAGCAACTTGGGCCGCACCTGAGGTGCGATTTGACTAGTACTTTCAATCAGGGCTCCAATGACACCACCATACGCCACCTAAAAGTGATACCTTCCGGTACTTGGACCACGGCTTGTAGACGGCCGTGTCTTTTCGTGCATTTTTCACTGTTTCGTGGGGTGGGGCAATAGCGTTCACGTTACACTGCCTACATGTACGTGCTGCTACGTCACACTTGGGGTTGGGTTGGGGTGGGGAGGGGCTATAACGTTCATGTTACGCTGCTTATATTAGTACGTGCTGCTACGGCAGGCATGGGGTGGGGTCGGGGTGAGGTGGGGCAAGAGTGTTCATGTTACGTTCATACGTGAGATCTTCCAATTAGAGGGATGTAATTTTGGATAACGTTATGATATTTAATCACGGGGATAAGTACTTGATTAAATTAATGAATATCGTGGGATTGTAGTGGTACCAACAATGAATGTGGTGTCAAAGTGTTTTGCCATGCTCTCCCAAAGAGATGGTGACATCTTGTTGGACTCTTGAAAAAACATTTAAAAAAAAACATCACGGATGAGAGATGATGAAAGGCTTCCGCACTAAAATTACTTTGCTTATTTTGCTTCGAGTGATCCCCGCGCTGACACACCATTCTGACATAGTTTCTGACATACAGTACCATCTGGAAGTATATATGGATATATACTATATATATGTCGTATTCGGCATATAGAATATATTCTGACATTCTTTCGGGCATATGCTCCGACATTCTATCTGACATTCAGATATTGTATCTATTCTGACATACTTTCTGACATACATTCGAATTCTGACATTCTTTCTGGCATTCTATCTGGCATCTATTCTGGCATTCTTTCTGGCATCTATTCTGCTATTCTATCTAATATCTGGCATCTTTTCAGGCATTCATTCTGGCATTCTATCTGGCATTCTAACCGGCATTCTATCTGACGTCCTGTCTGGCATTCTGTCTGGCATTCTCTCTGACATGAGTTCGGGTCCAGGCCCATTCCACAGCCGCGATACAGCAACTCCCACCATCATGGTCACATTTTGTCACGGCCGGGTGTGAGTCGTGGACCCCGTCACACATAGCTATGGGAAACAAGCCATTTATATCCATTTATACATATTACATTAATTATATTAATAGGTCTCTTTACCTACTCTTTTTGAACATGATGATTTTGAATAGCTATTTTGAATCGCTGTTTTGAATTGCCGGAGGGTATTTCTTGACGCAGCCATACCTTAAAATTGCCCAAATTCACAAAATGGCGGTCCATTTAATGAGCCATCTTTCAACCGAGGTGAACAATGCCATTACGTCAGATCCCTGGCACGAATTAGGGGTTGAGGGTGATGGATGGGGAATCCTAGCCATAGAACGCAGTGATATGGTTGGTATCTGTTGGTATCCATTTGCATTGTAGTGATATGTTGATAATATCGTGGACCAATATGGTACTGCACATTATATGTTCAAATGATGTGCTTGGCCTGACATTTTTGCGGAAACTTGTTCAATCTGTGATAAACGGTGTTTCTCATAGTCACATAGTCGTGCCTTTGAGATTTAAATGATTATTATCTGTGGGTGGTATGGCACGTTGCTTGCCAATATATTGCCCATGGGACGAGCATGTAACAGTCTGCCTTAGACAATGGTGTGTTTCTAAGGTGGGAATCGGCGCGATATCCCTTGCTAGACTCTGCTAAAGCATGCTAGGCCTCCTCCCATGTTGCTTTCAATTTGAATGTTCTGAACACTCTGAAGATCTAGGAAACCCACAAAGATGACTCCCAAATCATTGAAAATAATATCGTACTATGTCCACCAGATGTTTCTGCAAAAGGCGGGAGCTGGTGGGCCCCCGCGGTGTCAGGAATATTTGCTCAAAAAATTCAAGAATCTGGAATTTGCCGCTGGGCATGGTTCTGCAGCAACACCGTTGCACATTGATGCACATCATGCAAGCATCATATCCTTGAATTGTCTTCAATTGGTATCCCCCTGGGTATGTCGTTTTGTTTTGAAATGGTGTTGGGTGGATTTTGCGTGGTTTTGAAATGTTCTGAAATGTTTCACTTGCATGTTGTTTCTTCAGCATGACTATGGAAAGATCGCATCTGACCAATGCTACCAATGTTGTTGCGCTTTGGTAGTCTAACCTGGCAATGGAAAATCCCGTAGGTATACAATGGTATACACAACATGTCCATGTGTAATTGTTGATCTATGGTGGATGTTCGATGATTTTTGAAGTTTTTCATCATAAAGTATTATGTGTTTTCCTGTGATTGCCATGGAGTAGAGAGGTTCTGCAGGTGTTTCTTGGGCAGGGATTTGTGCCTCATCTACTTGCACAAGCATGTCAACCTGCAAGCTCATGCAGAAGCAATTTGTTTCTTCATGTTTTTAGCATGTCATGGATTCATGAAGTGCATCATCAGCATGTTTGGTGAAGACGCTCATCAACTACAGCATACTACAGCTACACCTACACCAAGGATGGAGTTGACCCTTTCATCAATGCAGAAGAAATTCTCGCTGAAGCTTCCCAACGAATCCGGCCGCATGCACCACGTGCAAGGCTGGATGTAGGTCGAGTGACCAGAGATCCTCAGCAACTGAATTCAAGTTGCCTATCAGAATTCTGTTGGTAAAGCATTCAATGGAAACAGGTGGAAACATATTTGCTCCAATTTTGGAGTGATTCTTTACAATTACTGGGTGTATAATTTTGGAGTGATTCTTTACAATTACTGGGTGTATAACTGTATAACCCTATATATAGCGCAACCAAGCAATCACTTGCGGTATCAACACACTTATACAATCTTATCTATATATATATATATTGTATATACATACATACACACATATATATATATATTATACTTATATCTTGCATGTATGTGATATGCACATATGCACAGTTACCCTTTTACTGTATTTGTTTTCTTTTTTGGCGGCAAGATTGTGGATAGGGGGCCATGGGGGACATGTTCAAAGGCTCTGGCGCCTCACCTCAGAGTCAGCAGCAGAGAAGCTGGGGCCCACAGCATTCTGTTCAAGCTTTCAGTGGAACTGTAATCCATGCTTATATAGAAACCCTTGCAGAGGTAAGCTAGTTCTTGCGGGTATAATTATGCTGATGTATCAATTATGTCGGTTAGAATGTTGTGCAGATGGGGTAGGCACTAGTGACTAGTGCATGGGTACAAGTTCATAAGTTAGGAGCAACAAGAAGCCAAAGAAGCACAAGGCAAGTTTTTCAAAGCAGCAAGAGAAAAAGCATCGCACGGATATAGAGGCGCATTGACAGCAGAGGCCGACACTGAGTATCCGGTACATGTTTTGGGTTGAAGCTCGTGACCACGAGAAGAGCTTGTCAGTGCGTTTGGATGTGCGGAATAAACAGCTGTTAAGTCCATCAGCTTCCAAGATGAATTCAAAATACCGGCAGATGTCAGGCAGCCAACATTGGGGTTCCTAATGTTTCCTAGTCCTAACGTTTCCATGCATTTCCTTGGTATTCACAATTACTGTAACCAAATGGATCCAAATGGTATTAAATGAATGTCAATGACGCTAAATGGAAGGCCGGGGGTCCAGTCGTGAGGTTCGATCCGTCGACTTTTGATCTCATCTTCATTGATGGCCGATCGGACTCAGCTTGGGGAAGATCAGCATGAGTACTCTGGGTGATTCTTGGCCCCAGTAAAGGACCAAATCATACCAAATCCATCCAAATCCTCCACCCTCAAGTCTCGCATGGAACCACAAACACTGGGTCCCATGTAGCATAGAATGATTGATGCCCACAAAGGTGCCAGATGAGGTTCCTTCGTGTTAACAGCTTTGGGAACCCACTGGGGTACTAGGAACAACTTTGCCCATGAGAAACCATTTTCCAGCCATGTCAGCTTGCAGCAAAATAGCCCTAGGATGCCCTAGGAATTTCAAGGTAGTCATTGAGTCATTGAGTTAGCATTTCGGCATGTTGCCGCAAATTGACGGGTTGTATCCCATGGCTAGTTGTTTTTGCATTTAATCTTTAACGCTATTTAAAACTAACTTTCCACCCCTCCACCAGCCAGTTCTTCGCTTTTCCATGCACCATTTTTCCGGAACAACCACCACCACCACCACCACCAGCGGCGATGAATCCAGAGATTCAGAGAGCTTCAGGTGATCACAGCTATTCGGCGGTGAAAAAGGACTTGCAGCTTTGGCGTTCCAAGCTTCGTCCTGGTGGACTCCTGGCAGGCTTTCTTTTGCGTTGCTTCGGAAGGATGAGCTATTACGGCATAGTCTGTGTGTATATAATTATATATATATATATATATGTGCGTGCAAACATTATATAAATATATATATATTTTTTTTTCTATATGATAAAATTTGGAATAGATAGACCACGAACCCTTAAAGACTTATATATGACTACCGTAGCCATTTTGGCTCAAGCCATTATTGCTCGAGCCCTGGTTGCGAAACCTTACATGGCAGACGTGTGTACAGTTGCATGTCCCTAACCTCAAACTCACATCATGCTTGGGGTATGCCCGACGTTTGGCGAGGAAACAAGACTTGCCTGTTGTGGCACAGCATGTGGATATTGCTTTGCTATACTTGCGGCTCATGCTGCCACCAGCACAGATCAGATCTTCAGCGCATACCTCCAAAAGAACCATTCATCTTAGGTATCTGCTCGTGCAGGACGTCAGGGAGCACCAGCACGCTGACCACACCCATGACACTGCTATGCAGACCGATGATGAACAATTCCCTTCCCCAGGCAGCTCCGAAATCATCTCGCGCACAGTGCAAGAACAGATTGCGCCCCTTGCAAATCTCTTAAGACGCACCCAGGAGCAATCGGAGGCAATGGCCGAACGTTGCCGTAACCTGGAAGACAGGCAATCTCAAGTTCAACTGCAGGATGTCAGCTTTTCTATAGTGCACCACCCGCTTCGGATGAGGATAGGCAGAGTGAAATTTGTCAACGCGGTGGCACACAGAGTGCGGAAGCTTCTGTTACAACATTGTCGACGCACAGTGCAGTGAGAACCAGAGCCTCCCTGAATTGCCAGGTTGACACAACAAGAACGGAAAGCTCAGATCATTGCACGACCCATTTGATGGGCAAAGAGATGTGACGAGAAGCTAGACGGCGCGAGCTGGAGGCTAAAGCCTTTGGACACTGATCGCCTTCATCGCCTAGTTGGCGTTTCGCCCTCATGATTTAATTCCTTGGATCTTGTATGTACAGTTTTTCGTGTGTACTGTTGCATTCTTCTTGGCTTCATTTGATCGGGCCACCTGCTCGCCCTCAGCCTGACGCTGAACCTTCGGGATGGCGATGATAGAGAGAGAGAATATATATATACGTATGAATATATATATATATATATATTCATAATTATATAGTCACCGAGTCGTCATCATCATCATCATCGTCATCGTCATCATCACCATCATCATCATCATTATCATCATCATCATCGTCGTCATATACATATATATATATATATTTATATTGATATTTATGTATTATTAATATATAGACTAGATAATTCTATAGATATAGTAAGCTTCAAACAGAAAGAAAGTTATGGAACACGTATTTCCAGGAGGGTAGGGATGATGCTGTTCTCATAATTTGCAGGCTTCCAACTGTTCAATCATGTTCTATCATTTTTTGATATTTTTTGGGGGGTGCTGGCACGGTGCTGGACTCAAAGTCTTGATCTAAGCAGCAGAAATTGGATATTGAACGTGGGGTCCATTCCCATGTCTATGTTTGCATTGATTTGCTCAGGTGCTTGGGATTTGGCTGATTCACAATGGATCTCACAATCTCACAACTGCTATGGAAGTTTGACTCGGAACATCTCGGAACATCTCGGAACCATGATGTTTCAAGGAATGTGATCCTGTGACCCGTTGATTTCAACCACCAGTTTCATTCCAAATGTGGGTGCGTCAAAACCTGTGACGCTGTGATATGGTATGGTATGATTTTATATTTTGAATTATTTTGATAATATCTTGGATGAACATCCATTTGACACCTACTTCGATGTTAACCAGGTAATTGCCAGTGTTTTCATCATGTTTGATCCACATCCCAATCGCACTGGTGATCACCAGGCCACGATCTTTTCAACCTTGCCTTCGAAGGAGTCATCGAGGCTCATAGGGGTTAGAATCAAGATATATGGGGCAAAACTGGTGTGGTAACTGCCTTAGAACCCCATTGCAATTGGGATAATCCGGGTAGTGGAAATTTTCAGTGGAAATTGAAATATTGAAGATACATGACTGGCCAGTGATGAGCCAGTCGGACTTTAAGGATGTCACTCACTTCTTTGTGGCCTTTGCTTGGCCCAAGCTGTGTAGAAACCCCTTCGAACAGCGGCTGCCTCACAGAGATGAAACGGATCACGTTGCCTTGCTTTTGGCTTGTTGCCAAAGCTGCGGGCGACCCAAGTTTGCAGCCCCTTGAAGCTGCCATGGCTGGTGAGGATAAGATGAGATCACCAGCAGAAGTTTTTTGGCGTTTGCCGATGGCCTTCTTTTCCTTTTTTCCTTTTTGCCTCGCATCTATGTAGATGTCACTTGGGAGTGATGGCCGGCTATGGATCCTCCAGCTTCGTGGGTTAGACTGGAACCTAGATTCTGAGTTCCGTCAAAAACTCGGATTTGCGTTTTTACACGGTTTCGAGACATCATTGCTGTCCCCACCACTTGTTTAGTATTCGTCTCAAGAAACCGTCCTGCACCTAACTGCGGCTGTTGAAGTTGAAGTGTTTGTTTTTTTAATTGTTTTTTCAATTTTGATTGGCCCTGCGCAGTGAACGATAGCAGACCCTTATACAGTATGTAGCTATCGTTTTTATTGACCCCGCGCTTAGACCGATAACCAAAACCTTTTACTTAAGATATCATTGCTTATATCATATAGGTGAACCTTCGCAAGTGCAAAACCCTTACCAAGACAGATGGTAAAAACATTGACAAGCAGCAGAACAAATCTTTGAAATAAGTATGCCCCGATGCCGCCACTCATCCGAAGATGTTGAATATTTCCATGGCATATCCAGATGTTCCGCACCTATTTTAAATCCAACATCGGACACGACCGATAACCCACTCAAAACCATATCAATTTCCAAGAAGCAGTCCCGCAGCAGAATTGCACGATCCAAACGAGAGTATTCAAATTTTTAATTAGGTTTCTGACATCCATTTGATGAACTATATATATATAATATATATATGCATTTCTACACACGATATCACACGATTATATACGCTTAACTAGGTACATCTAGATACAGTACATCATGACAATGACATATTAGATGCCCTCTTCGCCAGCCATAAGCTGCAAATGAATGCAAATGAGGTCATTGTTCTCTGATTGTTGTGCAGTGAGGGGTCGCTAACGTGAGTGCCTGCCCTATGTTGTTTCCAGTCGGGTTCTGCCAGCCCAGGCCCTGGTGTTGCTGCAGTCCAAGGGTCAAGCAGTCGCTGCATCTCAATGGTTCGAGCTACCTACCTCTACCAGCGGCGTGGAAGGTTTTTGCGATGTTGAACAGAATGCCACCAGCTGGGAGCTTTGTCGGAGCATTTCTGCTGCCACAGACTGTGCTTCCAAGACAGGCTGCGTTTGGTCCTCCGGCGATCCCTTTCCCGGATTTTGTGGTGTGCGCGATGATCCCGCTTCAGAGATGCAATGCAAGAAGTCGACTCAGCCCACAGACTGTGTGTCTTCTTCCTGTCAATGGTACCGATTTCCCATGGGCCCAGGTCCTGTGCGATGGACCCGTTGAGTTTCTGGGGACCCATAAGATGGTCCTAAACATGACAGCACTTCATGAGAAAAGCCGCCTTAGGTTTTTGTGTCCAACCTGCTGAAAGGTCACAAAATCACGGGGTTCAGGCGCAGCAGGTGCCAAATGGGATCCTATCATTATTAATGCCTCAATCAATATTGATAATATTGTGGGAGTAAATGTCAACCAGGTGAATGTGCACTTACAGTATTTGAATTCTTTCAATGCGTTGTCGACCTCTAATTACCTCTGGACAAGACCACTGCAACGTCACAGCCTCATTGCCGCACATCAGGTATATCCTGGATGCCCCGTTGGTGTCAAAAAAAATCACGTCCGGCCAAATGAAAATGAAGTTGTTGAAGCGGTTTTGGACATTGTTTGACCATTGTGCACATGTTTGCCTATATTTCCCGCCAGGCGCTGGTAGAGGACTTGGTCACCAGAAACTCCAAAGAGACCATTCACTTCAGCACGGATTTCGTGTGGTGGATCCAGGCCACCGTTGCCGGGTCCAGGCAATTCCAGGCACTCGTGAAAGGATGTATAAGGAGGTATAAGAAGCTGGATGTTAGATGATGTTGGCGGATTTTGGCCCAAAAGTGGTGGATGATGAATGATGATGACCTACAAAGTTGCATAAATAGTGTTGCAAGATTGGCCTTTTGGCCGACAGATTGAAAAATCATGAGCAATCCATGATTTTCTGAGCCATAGCATAGGCAGATGACGCTCTTTCCAGAAACGGAGACTGCTGGCTGAACATGGCATATGTGCTTGTCTTGTGACTAGCCGAGAAGTCACCATTCGAAGAGGCGTGCAGAGTAATCGCTTGGTTATTCTGTGGTCGCCTATGTGAAACATACAGCAAATGTGCGTGCAATGTTATTACTATATAATCTATATATGTATACACAATTGTACACATCATTATAATGTATAGTCGGCAATAAACAAGGCTGACTGACGGTTGAGGATCGTTGAGTTTTTTTCAAGCTTTACAATTCCTCCACTTGAGCTGGGCATGTCGTGGCTGTCGCCTTCCCACTCTTTTGGATGGCGCTTGATCCCTGAAGTTGCCGAAGTTGGCAGGTTTGAGCTGCAAAAGCTGCTGCAGAGCGCCATGGCGCACACGTCGACAAGCTCAATCCATCCATCATGGGACATGATGACACGGAAACTGTTGGCGAAATTTCTGTGCGAATGTTTGTGGTTCAGACACTTTTGCTTGTGCAATCGGGAATAGTGGTTGATTTTGGGCCCTTGAATGTGTGCAAGTATTAGTAGTGATCACCATAGAAGGAACTACTTTTCCTTGTTGACGCATGTTCGTTGGCCTTCCGGCAATTCCACTCCCATTTGAGGTCGGCAGCCAAAGCGCTTGGCATTCATAGCTGGGAAAAAGGAAAAGAAAGGGCCTTGGGACCAGTCAATGAAACTGAGACCAAATAGTATAGGCACATGCTTGCACAAGCACCATTAGTATAGGTTAGGATGGTTAGGCACAGTATGGTTACAGTGCATACATGGACCTTTTGCATCCTCTTGCATCCTCTTGCATTTTTCACGGCAAGAATCAGTCCTTTCTCGGCTGCGACGGCAACATCTGTGGGCCAAGGTTCTGGCCTGAGGCTGCCGAAATCCGAGTGGGTGAGACTAGGGAAATTGGGTCTGGAAGGATTCGAAGGTGATGGAGGTAGGCGCATCGCCCAGACATTCAAAGGTTCATCATGTTTGTGGAGCCCACTAGGTTGCGATAAGAACTTGAAATGTTCATTGCTGATAAATTTTGAGTTCGAGGTGGACGGTGAGTATTTGGACTTATTTGGTATTTCCAAGTGATGCTGTAGCAGATGTAGCAGTATGTAGCAGTCACATGCTTGTCTCTGCCGCAACTTGAGGGGCTCAGCCACTAGCCCTCACCCATTTCTACGCCCCACATAGCCGGCAATGGCGAAGAGGGTGCCGCTTTTTTGGAAGCTGGCCGTGGAGAGTAATGAACTGCGGTGCTTCCATGCTCCAGGCCACACTTAGAGTGCTCAAGCCGTTGATGAAAATTAGCAATTCACTCAGAACAGACCCAGAACATTAGGCGGCAAAGGAGTATTCAAATCGCAAACCATGGCATGGGGTGGGAGCATCAGATTTCTTGAGAATCAGGAAAAAAAATCCATATGTCAATGCAAAGATGTCCATTTATATGTGTGGTGTGCACACTGCCAAGCGCACATCCATATGCATCGATTTATCCGTCCAACCATCGAATAGTTGATACCATCGATCCGCCATGGCCATGGGTTTTGCAAGGCCTGGTCCCCGTGGAGCAGCTGCACGTGACGCTGCTCTACCTGGGAGGTCGCTCAGCAGCCAAGGCCGCGCCGCTGAACGATTTGTCTGTGGAGGATTTGGAGCTCATGTCCCAAGCTTTGCAGGAGATGAAGGGCATGGAGGCCCGGGACTGTTCAACAACTCGAAAAATGACAAAGGGTTGCAGCACAATAAAATTGAGACAGCCGCAGCTATCGTGTATGTTTCTGCTTATATACAGGTCTACTTTGATGTGACGCGGGTGCTCCAGCACGCTGACATGATCCTGGCCGAAGTGGCTCTGCCTGAAAGCCTTCCCTGTGCAAAGGCCAATCCACATGTAACCCTTTGCCGCAGCGAACATGTGGCACCCATTTTTGCTCAGACTTTGCTGGAGAATCCCTCTTCCTGCGTGGCGTTGGACGCACGCAAGTTGCGCTTGTGTGGTGTGGTGGACCTTGAAGAAGGCCCAGCTCGCCCTGGTCAAGTGCGCGAAAAGCGCGAGGCAGATGTCGCAGAGGGAACATGGGTGCATGTGAAGAAGCACTCATCCATGGGCTGCGCTGTGGTGACTTTGCCGACCCCTGCCTTGCGGGATGCGATCCTGCTGCGCTGCTCCAAGGTGGTGCTGCAAGGGAACTCCTTGGAGTTGAAGAAGCATCACCAGAAGCAAGGCATGAGGGTTGGTTGTGGATGGTTGTTGTATGTTTAGCATATTGTGGTTGGGGCAGTTGGGCCTAGCGGTTTTTTGAGACATGGTACCACCAAAACGGAGCAGAAAGAGGAAATTATTAAATATCTTAGTCCTGCTAAAACCAAGGAGGGAAGATGGTTACATATGCTTACACAATGATCACACTGTAATATTACATACAATCCCCCTCTAGGGTGTGGGGATGCGTGGGGCATTCCAGCCAAGCAACAAAGTTGTACCAAGTTGCCAGGTGATGGATCAAAGCTTGAAGTGCCAGAGTCCATCTTCGTGGGTTGGAAGCAGCCCAAACGCACCGCTGGGAGTGCTTTGCCTTTGATGGCTGAAGATTTGTTGGACCTCTTTGATGGGTTCTGTGCGCATTAGTCAGCAGAGTTGGGAGCAGAATGCCCACGAAAGTGGATGCTTCCAACCAGTAGAGTAGGGAGTTGATTTCAAGGTGGGCCTAACTCGGTTGAAGGCCTGTTGATCTAGACTAGACAATTCTAGACATGTTGATTTGCTGATATGTTGAGAGGAGAAATCTCTACCCAAGCAAAATCAGGTACAAATGAATTGTTCCTGTTCGCATGCTTAGCTGCTAGCCCACCCACCAACCAGGTCGTCACTGGTGCGCCTTGCGGATTTTTGTTGCTTCAACAGCACCTGCCAGAAAAAAGCTCGTTCTGTGGCCGCGCTTGAAGGATGAAGGTATCACATTTCACATTCTGAGCCTATAAAACCACATGGCTTTGAATTGATTTTGGAGTTTGCTGGTGCTGTTGTATTGTGACATGGCATGTTGCGCAGCCATACCTTCAACCGACCCATTGCGCTATCGACCTGCGCTAACCACAGGAATTGCTGAGAACCTTGGGCTGGCCGGCCACCGTCACGGGCCTCAGGCCCACCATTGTTTGCCTTATGAAATGACACCAGTAGGACACTATTACGACAGACCCCAAGGTCTTACGCACAGGGCTTGAGAGGTCTTGAAACCTTGAGAATCCTGATATTTTGTGATACTGTATTATATGATAAATGATAATGCCGCAGGTGGGCCCCACATTGGTGACTTTGTTGCAGCTCAGTGCCACGTGAGGTTGAGCAAATGCTGGCCTATTCGCAGCAGATCAAAGAATCTGCGCAATGGGTGCGGAGGGTTCAGGGACTGGCTGCATGGGTGTGGGTTTTGTGTTTTTCTCACATGGCGATCCTTTGTGGGCACCCTGCAAGCGAGTAGCAGCTTCAGGACAGGCGATGCATATGTAGCAGCTATGGAGGGTACGTGGCATGGGGTGACACCATCAGGATTGGGTACCCAAAATGTGATCGATTGAGGTGGTCACGTGGTCATTACACTACATGTTCAAACAATGACCCTAACAGCCCTAAGATGGTACGACCTGTGCCATGCCCATATGATACCATCAGGATTAAGAGCTGGTGATGATAACATCATACTGTATCATATTAGATCGCATTGTAGCACATATTATGCCTTACCATCTTATAAGGGACGTGAATTGATGTAAAGTGTACACATTCGCATCAAGAGCCACAATGTACTCAAATTGATGTGAATTGGTGCTGCATGGGTTTGATCAATTTTAATCAGAATTGGTCACTCTAATTGTCTAATTGAATAATAAACTCCTAACTGAACCACAAATTACTACCCCACCACTAACATAGACCCCGACAAATAGGGGTTTGGAAGACAACTGTCCTGTAAGCATGGGCCGTTGTCGGCGTCTATGTTAGTTGGAGTGGTGATATCAACAAATATCCTGATTTTTTGTCACTAGGATCACTAGGGGAACCTAATCTAATTGATAAAAAAGCACCACATACATTGTTTGAATCACCAATGGGGATCTAATCGATACAATTGCACTAATAAATCCTGATCAATCCTAATCAATCAAACGTGACATAATCCAAACAATGGATACGTTTATAACTTAGCATTACTTCAGGACATGTTGAAATCTAGAAAGCACATTAAATATACATTTCGCAGCACGAAATGAGACCGTTTTAGTATTGAGAAAGCCATGGTGACTTTGAGGTCTCCCATGAGCGCTAGGTCTCAGAGACGGCGGATGTTTCCTTGGACAGAGCATGCCTTGGAGCCCCAGGACAGCGTGGCGTCCACCAAAAAATGAGGTAAAGACAAGAATGTCCAATAAGAATGGGAACAAAAGGATGTACTGATGTACTGGTAATTATGGCGAGCATATGATTTTAGTGTGGGATGATTATGATCATGTGTGGGAAGATTGAACTAATTTACGATGCGTTTTCAGGGTGGAAATGTACTGCAGAGATATCTTTGTGTGCTTCCTTATGCTTGTTCATGTTTAAAGTGATGAGACACTTTCTTGTTTGCTCCTGCCACAGGTCCCAAACCCCTTGGAATGTTTTGTAAATGAACATTTGCATTCCCTGTACAGCTATCACCAGGCCGCACTTTCATCACTTAGACTTGATTTTGATCGAAATTGGGTGATAGCAATGGGCCCAATGGACCTACAAGAAATGGTTTGACTATATTCATCCATGTTTGATCACATCAAGCGTATGATTAAGCCATATCAAGATATATCAAGACGTTCTGAACTCTAATCCTTTCTCCCTAATACTAAACATCCCCGCCCCTATTAATAAACACCTCAAGTAGTTTTTAGTATTAGGCGGGTATTTATTATTAGGGAACCCCATTAATAAAATTAAACCCTTAATAATAAAAACTATTTTTTCCGATCTCAAAATCAATTAAATTTCCTTATATAACGCAATTAAAATATTGCCAAAAATTGGATTTCGAAGCGGGCCCTATTAATAAAATTAAAACCTTAATAATAACAACTATAGTTTGTTCGGTTTCAAAATCAATCAAAATTCCTTATATAACGCAATTAAAATATTGCCAAAAATTGGATTTCGATGCGGACCCTATTAATAAAATTAAAACCTTAATGATAAAAACTAGTTTGTTCGATTTCAAAATCAATTGAATTTCCCTATATAACGCAATTAAAATATTGCCAAAAATTGGATTTCGAAGCGGACCCTAACAATAAAATTAAAACCTTAATAATAAAAGCTAGTTCGTTCGATGTCAAAATCAATTAAATTTCCTTTTATAACACAATTCAAATATTGCCAAAAATTGGTTTTCGAAGCGGGCCCTAATAAGAAATTAAAAGCCCTATAATAATATAAAAAACTACAAAAAAAATGGACGGACCCTAATAATCCGGCCAGGGGCCCCCTGGCCGTGGCATAGCCGTACGGCGTTTCTCTCCTCTCCGTAGGAGAGAGGGGCCGCGCCCCCTGCCGCCGACCTCTCCGTGTCGCCAAAATATCCTACGTTTTACAGTGTATTTTGCTGTTCGCCTTTTTTCCCATTTTTCGGATCTTCTTGTTTAAGATGGGTCAACATGGGCCAACATAGGCCTCAAGATGGGCCAACATAGGCCTCAAGCTGGGCCAACATAGCCCCAAGATGGGCTCACATAGCCCCAAGATGGGTCAACATGTCCCCAAGATGGGCCAACATAGCCCCAAGATGGGCCAACATAGCCCCAAGATGGGCCAACATAGCCCCAAGATGGGCCAACATAGCCCCCAAGATGGGCCCACGTAGCCCCAGGATAGGCTGCGTTTTACAGTGTTTTTTTGCTGTTCCCATTTTTCGGATCTTTTGGCTCAACATGGGTTAACATAGGTGCCAACCTAGGCCCCAAGACGGGCCAACATAGCGCCAAGGTGCGCCAACATAGCCCCAAGACAGACCAACATAGCCTCAAGATGGGGCAATATAGCCTTAAGATCTTGCTCCCAGCTAGACCCATATCACCTCAACATGGGCCCCTGGCCGGCTGTCGCGCGTAAGCGCTTAAATAAACACCCCGGGGTTAGCTAGTTTTTTTGTGTTAGGGGGCAAAACCCACAAATGGTAGCTTTATTTTTAAATTGTTTTCTAAAGGGGATCAATTAAGAGTCAAATTGGCCAATCTGAAATTTTCCAAAATTGGAGATGGACCCTAGTTTTTAGTATTTGGGGGACGTTTAGTAATAGGGGGAAGGGATTATTGAATCATATCAAATCATGTTGACCCATTCATTTTCGAAGGGTTCCAACATTAAAAAACCTTCCCAGCTGAGGTTGGGCCGTCAGCGCCGTGATCAGCCGCTCCTTTGCCGTGGATGGGCAGGTGAGGGCCATGGTGCCTCTGGCTGAGACTTTGTTAAAGCTTGGAGGGCTGGGAAACCCCCCAGAGATGCAGTTTGGTTGGTAAAAAGGGAAACAACATGAAACAACATTTATTAAATAAGGGATTGTAGGGAGTTACCCTTGCCATGTTTGATTACCGGAGGGTAGTTTAGTATATACTTTAGCTGGTTGGTGGATGTGAGTGGTATGTCGATGATAAGAAGATTACATTTTAATTTATGAGCATCAATCAGGATGTTGATTTATGTTAGCATGCCCGGCATGCCCCCCAACCAAAAGTTCGACCCCGAGAATCAGCAGTTAGACTAGAGGAAATCATTGTCTTCCAAAACCCCCACTTCGATCTATTTGGCAGAGTCTATGTTAGGTTTGGGGGGTGGTATGGGGTGGTAAGCTATATTTTTTCTTGGTGCTGTAAACGCTAACCAGGAAACAAATAATTTTGTTGAAGGATGATGATACTGGATTTTCAGGGTCTACCCTTAAGTATGTTCAAAGATGTTTCTGTAACGCTTCTGTTCCATCCAGATTTGCGATGATGATATAGGCAAATCATAGCAAACAAATATATGCACACGCACATATATATTATATAGATACACACACGTATATATATATATATACGTGTGTGTGTGTGTTCATTACAGTTGTGCCGCAAAAGGTAAATTCCCCAAAAACTGTGACACTGTGGGCTCATGTAATCTTTCAAAATCATAATGATGCCACTGGAAGTCGGTTTGATATGTTGGTTCGCGGCAGTTCCTGAGAAGTTGCCCAGCTGGTTTGAATCCCCTGCCGAGATCTTGATTCTGTTTCACATGCATCAAAAACTCGCTATGCGCTATGGGTAGTTATTGGCAATTGGTTATCATTAGAGCTGTCAGTTTGGATAATGAAGCGATGTTTGTAAAACAATCATGAAACATCATGAAAGCATATGAGAGGAACTTGACTGCCGTGGCTTACTCGATGAGGACATCTTCAATCACAAGCCTGCCAGCGAAGCAAGCCGAGTTGGGGCCTCAATAGAGACCATGGAAAGATGACTGAACATGTTTGCTATCGGCATGTCCCATGCTTGAAGACCCTAAACCCAGTAGGTTCCGCACTAAGGCATTGGACAACGGCAGTGGGCCTGCTGTGTTCTTTGGCAGATCGGCTGGAGAGGTGCTCTCATGTGTTTGGCTGGTTGCTTGCAATTCGAGCATATCCAGCGCGGCGGCATGACTTGGAATCGTCATTCCAGGTCATTCCAATCTCCGCAATTTCAAACGTATCAAATTGGTTTGAAATGTTAGAAGTAGAAAGCCTTCCCATTTGAATGTTTGTACCTGGACAGTCTATAGAGCTTTCAGGGCCTATTGAAACATCAAAAAGTCCGTTGGTTATTTCGGATATTGTGTGCCACAATCTGGACCGTCCCATGGGGCATTTTCTTTGAAAGAAAACATAGAAAACGCTCTCTGGCAGTTTGAGTCCCAAACCAAGAGTATCACAATTATCAATAATAACTAATAATAATATATGGTCACTTATCTTCGGTTGGTAGGTCAGGGATAAGTGGATCAATGTTACAGTTCTTGGCACTGGATGCGACTGATCTTCTTTTTCTATTTTATTTGTTGTACCCGATCGGGTTCAGTTGATGTGATTTGAATTGTTGTGATCACAACATTGAGGTTGATCATCTCAGTTGAGCCAATGGCACTGACCAGTTCTTGGTGCCATTTTGGCTCAAGATCTGATCAGTGATTTCATTTGGGATTTGTGGGCCTGGGTGGTCAACCCTTCTACCGGCTCTTCTTTTTGCCATGCCGAGCTATCGTGGCGCTCGCGGCTCTGACGGTGGATGGGGCTCCCAAGAAGATCAGTGGGGCCGTGGATACGGTAGATCTACCAATAGCGCCCACAATCCCTATGAGGTCAAGATGCCGAGGTTCCTCGTGCCGATCTACGAGGGTATGAAGTTCCCTGAAGACACCTCGATCGTGGTTGTCGACAACCGCGACGACAGAATGGTGTCGCCTTTTCAGGCGTGGCTTGTTTCTGAGATCATGTCAAACGCTGCCAGTTCCATCAACGTGCTCACAGAGAGAGACCAAGTGATGCCGCCTAATTCAGGTTTTTCAGTGGCTCTTTTTGCCAACTATACACTGGATGGGATCAAGGTGGTCTTGGCGCTCTCGCTCGAGAGTGAGACTGGCACTACGTGCGCTGGATGGGATGGTGAGACGGCAGCAGCTCTGTCGCACCAGGCTTTTCAGCCTTTCACGTGGCCGATGCTCAGGGACACATCAGCAAGCTACACAGACGTGAAGATCTACAACGGGAATGAGATCCTGTTCCATTGGATCTTCAGAGGCTTCAGGTCAGACACAGACTTGACAGTCCAGCAACAGTTCGTTGACGAGCACCTGGTCAGAGAAGTGAACCAGGGAAAACGAAAACCGAGGCTCTCAGTGGTGATCGCCGTGTTCATCGGCTACAGGGTATCAGTTCTGAGTTTTGAGTGCGGGGGTCGCACATACTCAGTAGGACCCCGTGGCTCCGTGGTTGCAGGCGACTCTGCCAGATCGCGGTTTGAGCTCAGGTGTTGTTCAAGGTCTACGGCTGACGCAGTGGGCAATGACGCCGATCGTGTGGAGTTCCGGTTCAGGGACTCAAACAACAGGATTGATTTGAAGTGTTCCAGGACGTCAGTTCCCGGGACATGGCTCACTGTCTCACACATCTCTGGACCGACCTTCATCAAGACCATACAGTCAGTGAGGGAGAACAAAGCTCGGGTTGAAGGTCCTGAGCAGACCGAGCAGTTCGCGCAGCTCGCCGCCATCCACCAGACCTGGTGGGAAACATCGGTCGCCAGCAGTGAAGATCAGGTGGGCAGCATGGTGGTGTTCATCCCCGGAATGGAGGAGGGCAACTTTCACGTGCAAGCTCGATCGAAGCTGCTGGTAAGGGAACCTGAAGTCGTTCCAGCCAAAGCTCTGGCTGAGATGCAGCATGGCGAGGCTGTGAAAGCTCCCACAGGTCCCCCCTCCTTGACAGGGGAGGCATGGTTGAGCTCAGCCGAGACGGTCGCCAACATGGTTAGCAGTTCCAAGGGATCAGAAGAGATCGTGCCAGTTCGGCAGCAAGCCAACTACGAGCTCAACTTCCGGTCCTTTGCAACCAAACATCCTCAAGAAGGGAAACGTGGTCACGTTGTGGATGCAGAACGAGATCGTGCTCGCTGCGATCGCAGGTTTGCAAGATCCACAGCTCAGCTCACGCCCCAGTTGTTTCACGAGGAGATTTCCAGGCGATCGTACAATGTCTCTACGGCGACGATCGAAGAGGTCGATGCAGAGCTTATCACTCCACCAGAAGACTGGGCGGCTTGGGGCAAAGAGAACGTGGTGGAAGATGCGGTGGCAGATCGCCCAGCTCTTAGCAAAGTGCCTCACAGCACTCCTGCAGTTGGGTCTACGGAATGCAGTGATCAAGCAGCACCGACCACAGCTCCCCAGTCGTTTGGTCCATCGGCTCAGACGGGCCAGGATGTGGAGGCGGAAGTCACCGTGGAGTAGGTCAGATCATTTTGAATTTTTGAATTTTTCCTTTAATTTTCATTGCAGATCTGCAACATGGCAGATCGCCTCCCGCGTGACGGGCTCCTTTTAAATCGTGTGTGCGGCAAAAAGATCACAGCCAGCCGCATGAACCTGTTGGCACCTCGATCGAACATGTCTGTGGGGATCACGTTGGTTCGTTGTTTGTGCCTTGGGTTCATGGCTGGTTTATTTCTTTGATCATTGTGCGGTCCACCAGATTTTTATTGTTTGGTTTTGATCAAAACCGACTGCAGTTTCCAGGAGCCTCGTTTGGTGGGTGATCACCCCAAACACGCGGTTCAGGGATTTTATTTTGAGTTTACTGGATTTCATATATATGATCTTACCTTTGGTCCCCCCATTGCTCCGGTTCCCCTATTCTTGTGTGTAATAACCTTAGCCCAGATTAGGCCGATCCCCCTAATCAGGGTTCTAGGTTATTTACAAGACTTGGGTTAACCTGGTTTGGGGTAGGAACAGTTCGGATCATCTTTACTGGGACCTTAAGTTTTAATGTTGATCACAGAAGGTCTCATTTTACAGGATTGATCATATCCTCTTGTCGATGATCGATGGTGGTTGTTCCAGTTGATTTCACTGATTTTTATTTCATAGGGCTGTTCATGTGCCCTTGATGATGATGTGTCTGTTGGTTCATTAGGTTCCTGTTCGGGATTCACTATGGGATTGATCACATTCCTAGGTAGTCCCGATGAGATCCTTTGCCAACAGCCAGCGGGTTGGTCGTTTGGGGTAGATCCTCCCATCGACCGGCACTGCAGGTTGGATCCCCAGTGCTGATCATGCACGGGCGGTGGGCGATCGCTCCCGGGGCCTCAGTTGCTCAAGATGGATCGGTCGATCCACAGGTTTCTTTGTTTACCCCTCTGTGATGATGTTTTTAGGTCGGTTTTAGCTGAGCTCAACTTAGATCGTATAGAGCTATGGCTGTCGCTAGCAGATGATGGGGATGGGGATACGGCAGATCACAAGCTGTGCCTAATCCTGTCTGCTCTGACCCAAAAACAAGAGGTGATGGATCAGATTCTTAGCCGGCTGGATATGGTCAACGTCTTGGCCTCTATGGTGTCCAGATCGACTGAGAAGATCCGCCGTGAGATAGCGGTAGACTTGGGCTATGGGTACGCTGAGCCGGCGTCGATCGGCGCAAAGCGTAAGCCTGTGGCCGGCCCGCTTCCTACGCCAGCTCCTCTGGTAGTCGGAGCCAGACCTTCGGGTCAGGGACCGACCGAGGAAGTTCCATCTATCCAGGTGGTCGAGGCTTCGGAAAGGAAGAAGTGGGGGCTCAGGCTCCAGAAGATCTGCCAGCGCGCAGGTGCAGCCTCTGGGCTCAATGATGCAAAGAGGTGCGCTGGCCTGCTGCCAGCTGAGGCAGCTCGCCTCAAGAGCTTGGCGTTTGAGGCAGGCGGGTTCCGCACCATCAGACAGAATGTTCGTTATTGGGAGAAGTTTGAAGAGTGGTCGATCGGCCACGGACTACGCGTGTACCCGCCCACGATCGTTGCAGTCATGAGATATGCACTGCACCTGCGCGATCAGGGGTGTGGTCCTTCCATTTTGCCTGCGTTCAAGTACGCACTGGGGTGGATATGCAAGAGGCTCGTCATGCAGACCCCGAACATGGCAGATCCACAGCTCAAGGCCATCATAGATGAGGTCTACAATTTGCGAGGCAAGGAGCTCAAAGAGGCGGTCCCAGTGCCGCCGAAGATGGTCCTTGCCTTAGAGCTCCTTTGTATTAAGCTCATCAAGGAGAAGAAGGACGCAGCGGCGATCTTCGTGTGGTGGGCGCTCATCCTTATCTATGCGTCGCTCAGGTTCGACGACGGGATCCATGTGGCCCCGCTATCACTGCAGATGAACCAGGACGCTCTCTTGGGTGTGGTATGGCAGACCAAGGTCGAAAGGAAGAAGCGAGGCACGAGATTCGCAGTGCCCGCATGCTCTATGTCGGACCATGATTGGCTCGAAGAAGGGTGGAAGATCTTCCAGCCGTTCATCTCGGAGAGGGATTACTTCATCTGGGAGATCAAGAATGAGAAAGAGTTCTCTGCTGCTCCTATTTCATACTCGAGAGGGTTGGCTTGGCTCAAGCACTTCATGCTCCTAGGCCTTGCAGAAGCAACCAAGCTCGGCTACGTGGCAGCAAATGAAGTTGATCAACTGGAAGAAAGCATCCAGGTGATCACTTGGCACTCTATGAGAGTCACCATGTTGTCGGAGGCAGTGAAGGCGAATGTTGACGACAAGATCGTCGGCTTACAAGCCAATTGGAAAGATCCGAGCCAGTTGGTCTTGAAGTATGCCCGGCAGCGCAAGGAGCTCTCAGTGGCCATGGTCAAGCAGATGGCGAGCAAGCTCAAAGACGCATGGCTCCCAGACCCTGAGAAGTTCGTCATTGAAGAAGAAGACGAGGAAGTCACGGAACCGGTCGTGACTGAGTTCATCGTCAAGGCAACTCTGCCAGAGAAAGCTCTGGTATCAGCAGATTTTAGGTGCCACATTTTTGATCGTAGGGAATCTGAAGA